CGTATATACCCAGAATAGAGATTAGAACGGTATTTTAGTGTTCCAAGTGACGCCACAGATACGATAATTTGTAACATTCTCGTTCTTCGCTGTGATCAATGATTTTCTCATACAATACACGTTAAAAAGTTTGGAAACAAAGAGATTTAAATAAATTAATTCAACTGCATTGCATAATATAAAATATATACTTCACCTACATATAATAGTAATATAGAAGAGAATAGTAATAGAATCAAGCAAAATAATACAATGTAGAATCACTTATCTTACATTTTTAATTATTTTTTAAAACAATTCAAATGTTTCCAAACTTCTTGGCGGTAGTGTATATATATATATCATGCTCTATTTATTACCCCGGTCAGTACAATTTTAAGCATTTTGCAACCGCTTTCCAACTTTCAAATTTTATATTATTGTCTTACTTAAAAAGTAAAGTGTGACAAAAAAGTATAACAATGCTGTTTAATTACCGTTTAACGATACCGTACTCGTGATAGTTCATTTTTCGACTCAATGAAAGCTGCCTGATTAATCGCAATTATCGATGAAATTAAGTATTCAAATCACCATTCGATTATAGACAATTGGAGATTGATAAAAATTTGAGGAAAGCGTCGGTGCAGATCAAAGCGATTAATTGGAATTCGCGATTACTTCGTTACGGTTGGTGTATGGAAACCGAAGGAAACTCGTCATCCCTGTCGTGCATGATCATTATACCGCGATGGAACATAATCGTCTCGTGAGTCAACCGCACAGACGAATATCGATTATCAGTGATCGGTTCTGCTGGTCACGTTTCAATGACAATCCAAAAATGGACCGATGCGATGGTCCAAGAAGGGTTAACTAATACTTGAGAAAAAAAAAAAAAGAAAAATATTTAACTCTCTAGTAATTAAACGTAGGTACTTTGAAATTAGGATCCTTTGCATTCAACAATATAATTATTAAGTACCGTTTTAAAGGAGTCAAAATGACTGGTTTCCAGTTTCTTATTTTAAATTATAAATTTTATCAAAGTATTTTTGTTGAAATCTGTATTGGCTACTGTTGAGATAAATACTGGATGAATATATTAAATTATGTTTCATCAATTATCTATTTAATTTTCTACATTACTTTCAACTTAATAATAACTATGCATCAAATCTAGTGTTAACACTAGAACTACCAAAGGGGTCAAAATCGCTGGTTTCTAGTTTCTTATTTTAAATTACAAATTATCGAGCTAAAGAATAAATGTATATGTTAAATTATGTTTCATCTTTTATCTATTTAATCTACATTATTTTCAATTTAAAAATAAGTGTGCACCAAACGACGCGACGGTAGTTCTATTGTTAAACCTCCAGTTTGATGATAGCCGCGGAACGATCACTCGTTGCCGCCGATAACCCGCGAAGCGTGCATAAATTTATCGCATCCAATTGCAGGAAGGTTTCGCGTACCGCGAAATTATACGGCATGACCCTAATTATTACTATTTCCTTCTTCTTTTTTTCCTTTTTTTTTCTTCTTATTTCGCTGTTCCACGCCTCGCAGCTGTGTACACCGACGCGAGAACCTACGAGCCGGTTACGAGATGGTGTTCACGATCATCGCGATAATAATTGCAACGATGACGAGAGGAACGCGAGGCTCGCGATTCTTGCATGCATTCCGCCTACTCGCGTTCGCGATCAGAAATGAAAAAAAAAAAAAAAAACTAACCACGCAAAACCTCTCGATTCGTCCTCGTCGTCGATATCAAGTTTTTCCTCGGCAAATAATTGCTCGTCTAGCCGTATGCAAATCAGCTAATTGTGAGATTCGAACAATGCATCAGCATTCATTTATTGCACCGCTGGCAAATTGTGCATCGTTGACGATGCAACGAATAAAATTAAGGATTCTAATTTTCGAACGAAAAATTTTTGAAAGAAAAATCAGAATTATTAATTACAGTGGGTAATCAAATTATTAAAGCCACTCGCATTAATTGACGATTTTATATAAAAACGATTAATTCTTAAATGAAAATCTTCTTAAACAGAGTTTCTGTTATTTTTCTATGATTTATCGATGCTTGTAAAGTTATGATACGCGGTTGAAAAGAGTGAAAGTTCTTGACTGGCCTGGAAATTCAATCTCATCGAAAATTTGTGGGAACATTTATTATTAGTGATAAATAATAATTGATTAAACGTATGATAGAAGTATGGGCCAGAAATAAAGCAATCAAAATGAATTGTTTAGAGGTTGATCCTGCCTTAAAAAAAAAAATAATCAAAAATATGCCGAAAAAAATTGAGGTAGTAATTGCAACAAAAATACTAACATACATATGTAACTATAATCTTGTACATGTATTTCTTTATTCTTATAAGTATTTTCTTGTATATTATTGAATTACTCAATTTAATTATTATTAATTTAAACAGGAAAAATCCATTTTTTCCACCATAGCTCTAATAATTTGTTCACTGACTGTATAGAATAATTGGGGAAAAAAGAAAAACTTTCATATAGACGTTGAAAACTGTTTTGATTTACTTTCTAACGATACCGAGGGGCGTTTTCAGAGATTGTCCGCTTTTCAATGAATTTCTTTCTAATTTCATAGATCGTACTTTCGTTTTCACCCATTCGGTGACTTTCTATTACGCATATAATTATTTCGATTTCAAGGAGCGAATATCGAGCCGTCTCTGTATCGAACTATTTTTCCACGGTGTAGAAAGCGTAAAAAGCTTTCGTGGAATTCGAGAAGTTGAAAGAAAGACAAGTTCAATGAAACAATTGGATCGTGGCTTCGATTATCGTCGCCAGCCACGGCATCCAAGTTTCCCATGAAAATGTCTCTTGCTTTCTAGTCATTTTCAAGACGAACGATCGCGATTATCTAACCGAGCTGTTATTAAGTTTCCTTCTTCGAAAGTAGAAGACGATAACGCATGTATCAAGGTGTACCGTGTATGATTCTCTTGAAACTGACTCGTTCGAAAACGGCGAGGAAATCTAAGGATTTCGAACGAAACGAAATTCATTCAGCATCGCAGGCGTTCTTGCACATGGATTTAGGCGGATCGATAAACCCATAAATTCCGTTTCAGGAGCGAAATGCAACGGCAGCTGCAACCACAGTTGAAACGCGTGTTTCTTTGGAGCTAAGAATAGCGGAAGCTACTCGAACGCGGATTCCAATCTCTGGAATCGATTTTCAACGGATTCAAAGGGGTACATTAAATCCGCAGCAAATATTTCACCCTATGAGGGCGGAGCATTCCTAAGCTCGCACAGAGTATTGTTAATTTAAAATAAAAGCAGGGCCACCCTAAGCACAGGGCTAAATGGGCTATAACCCCGGGCGCCAGCCTTTTGGGGCGCCAATTTTCTTTAAGTTGTACATGTAATAAGTTACTTTTGTTTTTTATATTTTTAGTTGTTTATTAGTAATATATTGACTTTTCCTAATTTTCAAACTATTTCTTAGGGCGACAAATATCTTAGGACGGCCCTGAGTAAAAAAAAATAATAATTCCATCCTTTTCAGTGTCTGCACTTATAGCTGTGCTTTGTATCAAGAATATAACGCAATCGGTACAAAATTATAAATTATTATGACAAAGGGTTAATAATAATCGATCGATGGTATAAATAATATAGAGCAAAGATTCGATTACTTAATCAGACTTGTTGTTTCTTTCTGTTGCTATTTAAAACCAGTCTAGTCGGTGCCAATGAATCACTTATCGAAGGACGATTTGATACTCAGATCGCGTCACTGATGGTTAATAAAACTTTTCTACGTATCCGTTTGCAGCAGCTTAGCTGTTTGCTTGCGAATTTAAACAATGACTAACCCTTCGATAACTGTTCCCTGACAATCTCTGAGATTATTTTTATATTTCATTCAGTGTCATCCTAAATTTTGTATTATCTGTCCTGAAACATTTTCCACCCCAATGAATCCTATTACTTTCATCCAGCTCTGCTAAATCTACTTTCGAAGTAATTTGTCGCAGAAAAGATGTCGATAATAACCGAATCGAAAGTACCAACTGCAGGTTTCACTCTGTTCCCTAAAGAGGAGAATCCAGTGGTGGTTTTCGCGCATCGAGGACGAGGCTTGAATTTTGTCGACCACGCGAAAAAGGACAAAGACCGGGCCTCTATCCGAGAGCGGTACACACGACCCACGCACACGTTACTTCTTCAGCTACCTACGTTACACGATAAAAAATTGTTTGCGAATTCTCTTTTATACATGTGCAATTCGCAACGCTCCTATGCAAACAATTTCGTGAGAATCGTTTGTCAATAGTAACGAAAAACGTAATTAACACCTTGACCGATAGTGTGGAAATATCCTTTTATTATTTTAATAAATTTGTATTACATTAATGTGCAGCATGTTGTAATACAAATTAATATTATTCTAATAATACGAAAAATTATTCTGTCCTAAGGTTCGGTTCTAATAAACCGAATGTTTGAATCGTGATTTAAAGAGAAATGGTACCTAACATCGTGTTCCCGGGATGAAAGATAAAACCGATTCTTGTTTAGTTGCTAAACAACAAGTTCTTTCACTCTCGCCTCTGTCCTTCGCGGACAGTCAATATTCATAGATCGAGTGTCTCGATCATTGTGCGCAAGACGTGTGAATGCACTTACGTACGTTCCGCGTAAAAATAAATACGGCTCTGGACGAATAATCGAATCGAATCGATCAATCATCCGCAAACGTTATTACAAAATCGCGAGTAATCGAATTGAATTAACCTAAGCAGGAAGAACATCTCGACCGATAAAGAAGCCTTTTTTCAGTCATGAATAACATGCTCGTTATATAAGAAGACTGAATCGGATTTAATGGTTACCTTTTTTTTTTCAAATCGATTTAATCGTTTCTGAAAATTACCTAACTCAAACATTACGTATCTTCCTTCGTATCGTAATAATGATTTAAAAGTACATTAATAATTTGTAACGTAACGTATTTTACTTACAATGCGGTTTCCGGAAGCGGAATCTGTTCTTGATCTTTAGCAATCGGCGTTAGAGAGATCGTACGTGAAAAGATGATTCAAAACTTCCATGACAGACGCACACGGAAATGATCGCGAGGTAACACGACATGGCTGACTCGTCGTCAGCTGACAGATAAGCGATTACAAGATTCCCGTTCCGTACTGATATTTATCGTAACCTAAAACACCTACGATAATGCGGCTAGTTTCATTGCGTAGTTATGTGTCTACTCCTACGTATTGCAAACACGATCAAGTTATGTTGTTTAATAATGCATCACGTACGTACCCTCCGGTCGCGGCACTGCGAAAGTAAACAAAGAAAGATACCAATTCGATCCTACAAACGCAAACATTTGGAATTGATCGAACGTTTTGCAAGTTACAGAAAGTAAAACATAGAGACTACGGATTATGTTGTACGTTCATTTAGAATACCGAACGGATCATAAAAGTTGATTCTCTTTGTCTTTTCTCTGTACGCATGGAAAGAGATTGTACAAATTACGATTGTAGCAGTACGCGATCGAATTCCAGTAAGCAAGCCGGGTAAATGATAAGACAACTACCGTTTCTAAATAAACTAGGAAAGTACAGAACGTGGCGGATACCGAATCGAAGGGGGTGCGGTCGTAAATTGCAAGTAAAACGAGGGAAAAAGAAAAAAAAATGCAACTACGTGCAAGCTACTGCAGGAATGCAGAAAGAACGTCAGACGGAGAGGAGAGAGCGAAAGAGAAACAAAGAGAAAGGGTTGTCGTGTGAGCCTTTTGTATATGAGCATGTGTATATACGTAAGTACATGGATGTGTACACGAAGGGCCCCGCTCTGTGTGCACCACCAATCAAATGTCGAGTCACTGCACTTTTTTCTTCTCGCCTTTTACTTTTTGCTCACATTACCGCGCGCGTTTACGATTCCGATTACAATTCGGTTATTATGCACCATATTATACTAATTTATCACTACTCACATTATATCGTTTAATTCACCAACGTCGCGCGACCCACCGTACGCCTCTACTACTCCCTTTGACTAGCCTCCTTCGACTGCGCGTCAAACACTGCACCGCTTGAAACACCGAGCCACGAATGGAGGGGGTACTGGAACTGTGTTCATTCGGTTTGAAATATTTAATCACTGACTACAGATCCAACAAGACTGGGCATGCTTTTCTTCTCGAGGAATTATGGTTTTGAGGGTCTCAGACACCCCCAGGTGAGGTTAGGTCTATATGTACGGAGCATAGTTAGCGTGACTGTTGTGCCTGCTTACCAGTCCCTTTTCTACCACATCGCTCAGTCGCAACTGAAAAGACACAATTTTGACTCCCTTTCATTCTATTTATTATGAATCAGTCAAAATCAACACAAGAGCGAGAAATTATTAAAATAATTGTTTGATAAACTTGTAGTTTAAAAAGACCGCTATAAATTAAATTTTTTTTAATTCGACCCTAGCGCCATCTATACAAAAATGCCTGAAACTACTCAACGAGTTACCGATCGATTTTCCGAAACAGGGAACACACCGTAAGTCGTTGAGTAGTTTCAGCCATTTTTGTATAGATGGCGCTAGGATCGAATTTAAAAAAATTTAATTTTTGGCGGTCTTTTTAAAATACAAGTTTTGCAAACAATTATTTTAATAATTTTCTGGTTTATTAAAAATAGAAGAGTTTCACATTTTTATACTAAGATAGAGTCGCTTGTTCTCGAGGCACAAATTCAAGACTATAGGATTTGTAGTCATTGATTTAATTAAATATTAAATTATCTATTCATGTAAATATTCTTGTGATATTAAAAATATGGCTAAACTTCCCAAAACTTGTCAAATCGGTTTCGAGTGAAATTTTGCACCTACAAGTACCGCAGTTCACCAGAGTCCATAACTGCGACGCGCAGGTTGGAAGATGGTGGGGGAACGCAGCGAGCTCTCTGCTAATCGCTTTCCACTCCGTTTGGGAGTATCGCCAATCAGGGCAAAGATGCGCACTAGAGATGCGCGAAGAACGAAAACTGGTCTTTTCGCAGTTATGGACTTTGGTGAACTGCGGTATATGTAGCTTTATTTTACATACAGCTGGAAGACCCAAGAAGGGTGCTGGCCGTCTTGCTTCTGTCTTCTGTCTTCTGTGAGCCGAAGTTCTTAACCTAGCTTTAATATTTATTTATATTAGACATAATACAAATTTATCATGTAAAGAAATAAGTATTTTTTCATAAACATGTACGATATATGTCACCCTAGTGTAAGTGGATAAGTATTTCCAACTTTCAAGTATATAGAAATAAAAAATTATAATTTTTAACCCATTTTACTGTTGTTAGTACTATTCCATTGAAAAGTTGGGTTGTACTGATCCTGTAAAAATAAGTACAACCTTTTATGCTTATATTGAACTATGTGAAGGTAACAATGCCATGTTAAAATAATGTAATTTGATGGTACTGTTATTCAATAATCATTATTTTCTATCAGCAAAGCGATATTGGGAAGTCAACTACAAATTCAACGAAGTCTTGGATTTACTATATTTGGAAGTAAAAAGAAACAAAAATTCTCAGACAGAAATATATATGCCTTGGCCAGCATCGCATAATATTTCTCTTGATAAGATTGAAAAGATACAAGAAGGTTTAAACACTGACCAGTAAGAATAATAGTTTATAACAGTTGAAAGTATGTAATTTTGTATTTTATAAATTAATGTCCTTATCTCTTAATAGGGTAACATTTGTTTTCAAGTCTGCAGACAGTACCAGTATTATTTACAAAGCAAGCAAAGGTCTTGTAAAACCTATGGCTCCAGAAACAACTAAATTAATGAAAGAAAAAGAAGAAAAGAAATCAAACTTGGAGAAGGAAATTAGAAAAAATACTTCATACTTGTATGAGTTAGCAAAATCTTTAAATACAGAGAACACAGACAATACAGAAAACAAAAAAGACACTAGTCCTAGTACAAGCAATAGCAATAACACAGGGATAAATGGATAAATTTCTCCCTTTCAAAAATTGCAAGGAATCAAATATAAAACCATGCTGCATTTCTTTCAAGATATTTATTACTGAAAGGAGTTACCTTTTATATACTTGAAATATTGTATATTTCATATTACCAAAAATGATATAATTGACTAAAATGATATGTATTAAGCTGCTACTGTAAATGAAAATATTGAATAAATTATATAAGTATTATCTATATTGGTGTATTAACTATGTATTATTAAGTGATTTAGTAAACACTGCAAATATGAAGCACATGCTGTTTCATTAATATCAGTTGACATTAACGAGGGCATTAATGTCAGAGAATAAATGTAATGTTGTTTTGTACATATAAAAATAAGTAACAATGGTCTATCCAGACAAGGTTTCTACTTTCAGTGTTTAAAATAGATCTATCTACAAAAGAATGAAGACACTTGTATTATATACATCTTTCAATCACTATTCTTCGAACGATATTTCGTTCTTAAAATTGCTGCATACATTGAGAATTTCACGCTCGTAAAAACTATGTATGTTTCGGATCTTATTACAATATTTTTCGATCATGTTCTTATTATATATATGTGTAATATTTATGTATATGTATACATAAGTCTTAAGTATATAGCACATACAATTAATACATTGACAAGAAAATATTGTTTCAATATAGATGATCCTTTGAAAACTATATGTTTGGCAGTTCGAAAGATTCAGAAAGTAAAATTTTAATAAAAACGTGTTTCCAATGTTCCCATATTTTCTTGTCCATTATACAATTAAAAGATATATGTATATAGTTTTTAACCATTGTGTATGTCTTAACTAAAACTGTATTATAATTATTCAACTAGACTTTAAAACTTATATATGAGAATTTTATAAAAACAGGCACATTAGGAGTAATGTGATATACGAGCACCCTCTGTATAAATAGGTTTTCATTTTGATATACAAGGTCTTGGTAAAAATAGTTATTAAATGGTTATTAATTTATTAATGCATTAAGGCAACTATAATTCGAGGTGTACCCGAAAGTATCACAAGTGATGCAATTAGCTTTTTGTTTTGTTATTTCAAATACTGTTCTTAAGAAAATGAGTAATGATCTTAAAGATTATGATTTTTAATATTAACTAATATATTACACTATATTTTTAATGTTGTTATATATATATATATAGGATACAGAAAACAAGAATTTTAAAAAGGCACTAAAACAATGTTAGCATAAAACTTTCTCAATAACAAAGGCATAATGCATATATTATTAATGATTGTATAAAATATTCATACGTGTCACATATCAGAGTATGAAAACAAAAACAAAAAATAAAACAAAGAAATTGTAGAGTGATGTTTATAGTGAATATGAGTACTAATAACGTGCTATTGTGAATTTGTATTGCCCTTGTGTTATAGTTATACAGTGTATCAAGCTGAAACATTGTACTTATTAATGTTATGTTTTTTTTTTACTTTTTAGGATTTGGTTACATATTTACAAAGTATATCTAGAGCAGAAATATTCTATCACATACTAGAAATGTGAAAATATGTAACTAATTAATGTATTAAAATGAATAAGAAGATTGTGTAGGAATCAAACCGGTAGAAATTTGTTCATTTAAAAAATGAACTGATATAGTTAGATTGTTACATGTTATTGTAAATAACAGATTTCAATTTTCTGATTTTGTTAATAATTACGTACACGTAACTAATGTAATTAGAGCGCCCAGTGTTAACTATGTTTATATTGCTTAACACTTATAGATCGTGCCATCTTTTCATTTAATTCCCTATCACATGAGCATGAGCAAATACAACTACCTTTTGATTTATTTTTTGCATTTTATAAATCATAATATGTTTATACAATGAATGTTTTTTTTCATGTTAAGGATACAATTGTTGAGTGGCTGGAAAAATGTTCACTATACATAAAAATAAATGTGCATAAGTGAAAATTGTAAAATAATACTTTAAACAGATATCATTTTAGACATTTAGTTAATATCTAGAATCATGATTAAGAAATCTGATGAATATTGAATCGAACGATATAAAGTTTAATTGCAAATAGTATCTCTGTATCAAAGTACGAACAACGTTAAAAAAGTACATGTACAATTTATGTATCTTTTCCGGGATTTCAATTGATTAAATCTCAATATTAAGATACTTCAAGTAACTCTAAGTATTTATTACATTGCATATTGAAAATTAATTGCGATAAATGTAAACCTGAATTATATAACTACGAGTTAAAAGTCTGAAATTCATACACATTAATTAAAAACCTGAGATTCGACATTTAAACGTATCTTTTTTAAATCCTTTATGCCTGATACTTTTAAGCACTAAAAAATAAAACATCTGTACAATCAATAACACTATTAAATATCAAATGTGGAACATATTATTTTGAAAGTTAAACAAATACATCTATAACTATCGATGTTGTTAATTGCGATTTGATTGCCCCTAAAATGATGTCTGAAAAAGTAATAGAACGCTAATCGTTTCGTGTATCAAATTTAACAAAAAAGACGATTACCGTCATTATGGCTAGCACCAGTCAGCCATGTACGTAAAATCTTTAAATAGCATTTGTTCTAAATCATTAAGCGGCCTAGGATCTTTAGGCGGAGTTAATTGAGGCTTTTCCGATGTAAATTCTTCATCAAAATTACTAACGTCCTCCACCGAATGCTGAAATACAAATGTAAACCAAATAATGAATACATTTAAAATGAATATCATAGATTAATACTTACAATTACTGGAACAAACGGTGGTTTTACACGTCTCAGAAGTAAATCATCCCAAGCTATGTGCCTAAAGAATGCTTGTTTCTTAACATCTTCAGCATCTCTTTCACTACTACCCAATCTTCTATCAGGATTTTTTCTCAGTAACTATAATTAAATATAACCAGTCAGCATTATACGAATCGTATTTATCCCGCAGTCAATTAAACAACAGATAAAATATATTTACCCTTCTCATTATTGCTATCGCTTCTAAAGAAAGAAATCGCGGATACCGAACTTCATCGTTCACAATAGAATCAAATACTTCTTCTTCGTCATCACCAGGGAACGGTGACTGAGCAAGGACCAGGTATCAATTAATGCAAGCAACTACAGTGTACGTTTATTAAATTACACAAAACTTACCTCACCAACAAGCATCTCAAATATTAATACACCAAGACCCCACCAATCAACAGCTCGTGTGTACGAGGTTTCGGTAAGAACCTCGGGTGCTAAGAATTCTGGTGTACCACAAAATGTTCCCGTTCTATCACCATATCCCATTCCTTCTTTACACAAACCGAAATCAGCAATTTTTACATATCCTTCCGTATCCAATAGTAAATTATCTAATTTCAAATCTCTGAAATTTTAACAGGATCATTGAACACTTTACTGCTTGGTACAAGAATCACATCCATAAAAATCATGTACCTATTTAACATTTACCTGTAAATGATTCGACTTTCATGCAAATATTGTAAACCTAACACTACGCAGGCCGAATAAAATACAGCTCTTGGTTCCCCAAACACATCCGCGTGTATGTGCATCATAAGATCTCCTCCAGCTGCATATTCCATCACAAAACAAACATGTGCCTATGGAGAAAAAATACTTTTAATATTTTAAATGAAACGCGATGGTAGAAACGTAATTAAAATAGAATTTGTACCTCGGTTTGGAAACAAGCAAACAGATTTACAAGGAAAGGATGACGGGTAGCATTGGCCACCTCGAATATTCTTTTCTCTGAAAGCAACGACTCTACTTCGTCCCTCGCTATTATATCACCCTTTTTCAGAGCTTTTATTGCAAAATATTCCCCTGTATTTCTGTATTGCGAAAGGATCACTTTCCCAAAATGACCACGTCCAAGTACAGAGAGTAGCCTAAAGTTGTCAATGGTCATTCCAGTGAGTTGCGAGTGTCTTCTGGATTCGTAGGCACTATCCCTGTACTGAGAAGGCTTGCTCGGCATTTCGTACACGACCTATAATCGTTCAAACCGTTCTTAGTTCAAAGTAACACGTTCACCACAAGGTATTAATTACAATCAACATGAATTATTTACAGATTAATCGAAAATATTAAAAGTTATTATACTCAGTTTGTCGCAGATGAATTGTTAATCGTAACTTTATATAGGTCACAAAATATAAAGTATTGAAATTTAAGTTCTAATTTAGTGTACTTAATTGGAAAGATTCACGTGTTTAAATTGTACATACTTAAAGATTGTTCCTAATAATTGTTAAAGAAATACCTATAGGCTGTTGGAACGTTAAGTATTTACAAGCAGGATAAGTCTGTAATTACAAGTACTTATACAGGTAGAATAATGAAAGCTTTGATACATAGTAGACACACAAGTGCATGCAAAAACTTGGTGACACATGCGTTTGATAAAAAAGAAAAAAATCTTATTAAAATGATAAACAGTAAAGATTTTAATTGTAAAGAAAAAAAAAAATTAAAAGAATAATACTTAACGTATGTTAGTACAGGAATAAAACGCAAGAAGAAATAAAGCTGCGTGTATCTGGAGGTATGTACCTCATCTTCAGGAAACTCGACGACAGGTTGGGGCGAGGGTGTGCGTGGAGAGGGTGGTGCGATCAGCACGGGACGAGGCTCTGTTACAAGAGGCCTCAAAATTGCGCCCTGAGGCCCCCCCTTTTCCTCGTTGTGCAGAAAATCAAACTCCCTTAATGCACTCTGTAACTACATTACTATCTGCTTAGCTCTAAAAGCTACTTTACCGTTGCTATATATCTTAAACTGAAGGGAGTACCAACATTTTCCGTACAATTAAAAGAAATAGATTAACTTTATTATTTGAAGGGAGTTTACTGAAGAAAGAACACTGCACATTGTAACTTTCTAGTGTATCCTTTTTGCATTGATGCTGAACATTGTGAAAATAGCTATGCATAAAATAAAGCTAAGAATGGGGAAAAAAATATGCAAATTAAATGAGAAAGAATTAAGCATTTAAAATAAATTGCATTCTTAAATTGCTTTGATGCCTATAAGAATGTTGTTCTTATAAGTATCTTCAAAGCAGTAAGAGTACATTGTAATTACTGGCATTTTGCGCAAAATATATGTATATATAATATATACTAACATGCCTTAACAAAATATGTATTACTATATACAAACGTTAGAGAGTATATAGATTCAACTGGATATAAATATATTATATGCATGTGTTCTACATGGTTTTTTAAACCCATAACCAGTGTACCAAACCCTAAACCTTTAACAGAAGATACTAAGAAACATTAAAATACTTTGTAACAAGAGGGACAATTACTAAATGACCAAAAAAAAAAAAAGTACAACAGGTTTTCGTTTAAAAGTACGTTTATCTATGTATAATAAATGTTGTATAAAAAATACAGTGAGAGATAACACGAATTTCGCATCACTTACCTCTTGATCTAGTTTCGGTGGGGGTGGAGGTGCTGGCAACGAGGGTTTCTTTGTAACGGTGGGCGGTGGAGGTGGAGGATGTTCCGGAGGACGTGGCAGTGTGGGACTACTACTAGAGGTTGATAGTCCCAAAGGTCTAGCTCCTCCCAAACCTCCTTTCTCTGGATCGGGCAATTCTCCAGGTGTCTCGGGTTTGTCTTCCAACGAGGTGTCGAAAACAAGCTGCAGAGGTTGCGCTCCTATGAAAAATATAAAAAGTTGGTCATCCGTTGATATATGAATAAATACAAAAGAATAATATACAGAGCTACCTGATGGTGGACTTTCAGAGTTTCTTGTATTGTGTAACGAGGGCGCGGATCGTTTTAAAAGTCTACCCCAAGTGGCAACGTTAATATTCATTTGATTAGCTCTCGGGAAATTTTTCACTTGCTGCTTAAAGATTTTTCGTTGCCTTTGCAACTTGGGCTTCCTCGAGATCATAGGATTCAAGAACTTTATTTCGGCAAACAGAAGGCCCTGTGGCTCCAACTGCAGGGCCATCCCGTGTCTCACATCATCGATGAATTCTTCTAAACGTAAAAACTTTATAGCACAAAGAGATCTCCAATCTTTCCAATAAATGCCTATCTCGAGTTCCCTCGACTTGTCTAGTTCGATGGAAAACCTATGAAAACATTCTACCTGTATAGACTGACACACTTGCGGTATTATTTGTCTTGTGAAATTACGCATACACGTGTATCTCTTACACAAATACGTATATAATAATAAAAAAAAAAAAAAAAAAATAATGTACCTTTGATCCCATGCCTGCTGGGAACATGGTCGCCAACTAGTTTGCGCTACCGTTTGGTTGTCCAGTTTAATAACCGCCATAATATCATCTGCAATATATACAAGTATGTTAGTATACTGTTAACCCTTTGCACTCTTTAATTTCTTTTTTTAACCTACCAACAACTTTTCTTTCATTCATTTACAAAATATATAAAAAAAGGGGGTCTCAATAAAATGTTGTATTGCAATATTAAAACATTAAAACAATTTTTAATTATTATAATTATATATTATACAACGCAATTTCTAAAATAATTAAAAATGTTTTAATTATTTAATTAATAATACTACAATGGCCACACTCGACATACGAGTGGTAAGGGTTAAAAAGATTAGTAGAGGAACATTTCTAATTCAAACTTACTACTAGTCTCATCTTTAACACTGTACGATTTGCTCGAACTGCGCCCTGTAACTCCTTTAACAAAACTACGTAAATCTGGACTCGCCGGATGTTCCCTTCTCGTACGTCCAGGTACTTCTTCCGCCAGGTCTTGGCATCCCATTAATCGTACCTAAAATAATAATCGTATGTTTTGTTAGAAACACTTAGGGAATATTTATGTGCTATATTTTATATGGAAATTTTCTGTACCTCTAATTGTCCAGTAACAGCTGCACATCTTGAGACCGAAGCAGGCACAGTCGCTCTGCCCTCCAGAGGACCACGAAACGGTTGCAAGGAAGTGTAAGTCACCGGGACTGGACTGGCTGATTGAACACTAGCTAGTTCCCTCTTCAACTGTGCTGCTGTGCCACTGTCTGGTGGCAATTCTTGTCGTCTAAGCTCGAGGGATAATCTCAATAGGTCCAATTTTCTACTCGATTCTGCAAGACTTGCTTGAGCCTGAAGCGTTTCAAAAAGGAATACGATAAAACCTGGCCTTAAATAATCATCCACAAGGGGTCGGAAAGCACGAATGTATATTACTAACATAATCAATATTTATTAACGTGAACAGCATGAATATCATATGTATCTGTTAGCTTACATAAATGCTCGATACTTAGCAGAATGTTTTAACAGATCTCTTTATGAATTTAAAAAAAAAAGTGACCGACATGGAATACGATGTTTTAATTAATAAATATATAACTTAAACACACGCGTTTAATTAATTACATAACACAATCTCACAATATTTTTAACAGTCTCGTTACGAAACCAAGAAATACTATAATATATATGTATTTAAAAAAGAGAGCTTTGAAATCTCAAGAATCTCTATTTTTTAGGGATCGGACGAACGATATGTTTCTCGCTCTGTAAGCGAAATCCCGTTTGTCGTTCGAAATCGCTTACAGAACTGGAACGTTCTCGGGAATTCAGTTCCTCGAAATGTCTCCTACAATGCTCGCAGGCACAGGAGGGATTTTTCGATGGTCCGATATGATGTCCCGGTTTTCGAAACGCGTTCACCACCGAGCCAAATATCGACGCTTTCAATATATGATTAGTTCTCTCGCCTTGCGGCGTCATAAACGGCGAGGTAACTCGCGAAGGTACTTTAGACGGAAGCGGGGACGGACTGTTCGAAACGAACGGTCCAACTTGGTCGCGAAAAGCATACGGATGAGGAATACTGTCGCTACGTGTCGTGGAATCAGACTGGTCTTGCTGCAAACCTCTCTGTACAGTTTCCTTTTCCACTGGTACATTCTTCTCTGTACACTCGCCGCTTTTGCTTGTTCGTCGAATGGTCGAGGTTTTCTTAGTCATTCTCTGGCTTTCCTCGCTGGACACGAAACTCCAACCGACCGTACCGCTCTCGTCGGAATCTTCGCCGCTGTCCGCGGACGACCATTCGGTTTCACGTATCCCTGGATGTTCCCTCGTCCTTCGATTCCGCAACAGGTGTTCCCGTTCGATCGGCCATTCGGATTTCGACCAGATCTCCTCCATCCTTCGTATCCTCTCGCGGTCGGTGGAGCTGGCGTATTCGAAGCTGTCGCACGGCGTTAAAGCTATCCTACTGTTTATCAGAGAGTCTATATCGGAGAAGGTATCCTTCGGTGAAGTAGCGACGGTCGAGTCGTAGTCGAACGGAATGCCAGCGTTGGAGGACGCGGCGGACCAAGGCGCCGAATCCAAGTCACGAAGAGCGCTGTACGAGCTGAACTGCGAGGGATAGAGAGAGCTGAGAACGTCGTCGCTGTCGTATCCCTTCGAGCTAGCTATGGAAGGCATCCTCATGGGGGCGTTTTTGAAACTGTCGCAGCGTCGTTCAGTGGCGCGTTTCATAAAGGCATTGTCGTCCTGAAATCCTCGGGGTAATACATTATCCGGGGCTTGAGTGTGAACGACCTTCACGTCTGGATTCTCGAAAACGGTCATCGGCGTTTCGCGGTCGTTCTCGCTGGAGGTATCAGAGTTTTCATCGTCGTCCGATCCGGTACAATAGACGTCGATGTGCACCGTTCGCGATTTACGTTTCGCGCTTTCGTCCTTGGCGGAGGAATCGGACTTCTCCGAATCGGCTGAAGGAAATACACCGGTGGTCTCGGAACCAGTGGTTGGCGATCGACTCTCTTGCTAAAAAGAAATACATATACGATATAATCTCATAATTCTTCCTTACAAATAACAAATCGTATTTACCTGTTTCGTTTTCTGCTCGTTGGAACTTCGGAGACCACCGGTCGTCTTCCTTCTCGTTGTACTCTTGCTGACGATCGTCGACGTTGATTCCTGGGATTCGACGTCGGTGGTTTGCGATGAAGCGTCTTTGCTAACGGTCGTCGATTCGCTGCTGAGTTTATCCTTCAGCCGACCGCAGAAATGAGTGCTGTACGCGCTCGAAGTATTGTTCCCGTCGGTGGACTCCTCGCAGACTTCCGGTACCGTGCTGAACTGGTGGCGTGTGAACACGTGTTGACGCGACGAGGAATGATGTCGCCAAGAATTGTCGTATGTGTGTCTGATCGATTCGCTGCTGCTCTCTTTCCTCGAAACGCTGTCCTCCGTGTTTACGGCGGACAGGACGATGCTGCAGGTGCTTCGGCACCGACGATTGTACTGTTGCGATGGTCGACGGGAAGGCAGGCTCGAGTAAGACTGCGAGGAGAATTGCTCGCTGTTGTAGCCGGAATCGGACACGTTCGCTCCTCGTCCTCGGGACGACGACTCGTTCTCCGACAGACCCGACGATCTCGGGATCGTGAACGATCTGGGCGTCGGTCTGGGTGGGGGGGTCGAGGTGAAGAGTATGTTCCCTCGTTGGAAACCGAACGAACTCGACGACGAAGGGGACGGGATCGACGCGGTGGCTGGAACCGTAGACGGTGACGATTGGTCGGTGTTCCATCGGTATATCATACGAACGCCGTTCGAATCCGTGACGGTCGAGGACATACTTACTGGTACCTGACCGGATTCCGAGGTGACCGGTGCACCGTGATGAATCGTGACTTCTGCGCGCACCAGCCATGGCGGTGGTTGCGAGTTAATCGAGTTGCCTTGCCGGCCATACATGTCGTAACTTTTTCCTCAGCCTTCTCCACGCTGTGATCCAGCGCAAAACATCGTCGCTCCGCTCGTTCAAACGATACCGTAGCAAAAAAGCATTCGGCCAATTGTTTCTTCCCTCCGTGGCGAAGAGAATCCGACCTTCTTTCCCGGCTATCGTTCCCCGGCTCATCGGATTCAAATCCTTCGATCTCTTCGCGAGAGATGGAAAAGCGCCTCGGCAAATTCCTCTTCGTTCCTTATCACCGATTCTAATCCGTCTGCGTTTTTCTTCTTTTCCGAATTTAAGCAAACTGGTTACTTCGCGAGAGATGGAAAAGCGCCTCGGCAAATTCCTCTTCGTTCCTTATCACCGATTCTAATCCGTCTGCGTTTTTCTTCTTTTCCGAATTTAAGCGAATAGGGTTACTTCGCGAGAGATGGAAAAGCGCCTCGGCAAATTCCTCTTCGTTCCTTATCACCGATTCTAATCCGTCTGCGTTTTTCTTCTTTTCCGAATTTAAGCGAATAGGGTTACTTCGCGAGAGATGGAAAGCGCCTCGGCAAATTCCTCTTCGTTCCTTATCACCGATTCTAATCCGTCTGCGTTTTTCTTCTTTTCCGAATTTAAGCAAACTGGTTACTTCGCGAGAGATGGAAAAGCGCCTCGGCAAATTCCTCTTCGTTCCTTATCACCGATTCTAATCCGTCTGCGTTTTTCTTCTTTTCCGAATTTAAGCGAATAGGGTTACTTCGCGAGAGATGGAAAAGCGCCTCGGCAAATTCCTCTTCGTTCCTTATCACCGATTCTAATCCGTCTGCGTTTTTCTTCTTTTCCGAATTTAAGCGAATAGGGTTACTTCGCGAGAGATGGAAAAGCGCCTCGGCAAATTCCTCTTCGTTCCTTCTCACCGATTCTAATCCGTCTGCTTTTGTTCTTTTTCTTTTCTGAATTCAAGCGAACAGGTTACGCAATTGTTTCAGGAAAGTGATTAAAACGCAACTTTATCGAGAGTATATTTTCAGAGCGGGATTTCACAAATCCTTACGTATATATCGCATAGTTGTTCGCGGAACAGACGGCGATTCTGCGATACTGCGCCTCTACCCCGGGTCTATTTTCAGAACAGCCGTGTCTTACTGCATTCGAAACGATTTCGGAAACTCTTGTATCGTTCCTGCGTTTCGTATAAAGAAAGAATTGTACGACAGTCGGTCGTTGTACACCGTGATGGTTTCACCTTCGATCGAGTCCCTTCGAATCGGATCGATACGATATCAACGTCGCGATCAACAGATCGGTCTCTCTAGGACGGTTACACAGCAGGAAAGACGAACTTTGAACCATCGAATCACGCAAGCAGCTGCTAACTCGTAAAGGTGACAAAACCATAGGCCAGTAGGAGCAAGGTATAATTAGCACGATATAAATATGGAGCAACGTAGAGTGGCGGAGCAAATATACCTGGAAGCAGACGATACTCTCCGGTACGATCAGTCGGTTCAGCTGACGAATACGTCATCCACGATCTTAGTAGAAATAAAAATTAATACTAGCCAGTCTAAGATAAATGCACGTTTCTTCGAAGAATTAATGAACGTGCAAAGTATTTTCTATTTCCGTCAGTCTGTTTCAAGTTCCAAGTTCTCTATTCCTTTGAGCCTCTCAAAATTCGCAGGTAATCTTCTTTTATTCTTCATGGAACACAGACGTCGCGTTGGTCAGTCTTCTCGGTAAGGATTCGTAGTAAAAGTTGCGTCCGATCCCAAATCGGTGATCACGACTGGCCGGATAGGGGAGTCAGTCTTGATGATTCAGGTCATAGTCCTCTGGTTGCCGGTGTTGGAAACGTATGAAAATTATCGAGGAATGTCCCGCGGACGGGCACACGCGTCGTATATCGAGCAGTCGGTCCGCGGTTGATCGGCGCACATGTCGTTGCTTTATCGCGTTGCTTACGACTGGGTCGTACCAGCTCTCCCCTCGAGAGGTGGTAACTAAGCGCGACCCGAAAAGGCGTCATAGAAAGACGGACGGGGTAGCGGGGAATAAAGGCGGTGCTATTTCGAGATCACCGCGTTATACGCCACTGCTGCTCGATTCTCGACGTAGTCGTCTACGTCGTACGCGATTCTCTCTTAGCGTTATACGTACACGGAAAATCGTGTTGCACGAGCCGTACTCGTTGATCGGATGTCTCGTCTCGTTTACGTCAGAACGACGACAGCGATCTTCGAGACCAAAACGAGTCCCACGTTTCGTTTCGAACGGATAGAATTTTATTTAGATAGAAAAGGAAACGAACGACGATAGATCTCTTTGGACGCGTTTTGTTCGATATTGGAAAAGCTTTCGAAAGGACGAGTCGCGTGAATAAGCTATCTTCGAGTAACACAGAAAAGCTTTTCAATTATCGGCCACGTCGATTTCCATGTACAGTTGGTTATTCAACTAGAAATATAGATACGTACCTCCGTTAAGGCCTTCTTATCAGCGACTTTGGCACTTTGCAGAAGACGTATCACGTTTTTAGCTCCCTCCACGACAGCTGCCTCGATTCGCAAACGATGCCGTAGCTCCTCCACCCGCTCCTCCAACGCGAGCTCCAAGCTTGGCTCGTACCTGTCTGTAATCATAGTCGAACCGTGTTATCGATCCTCCTCCAATTGTGTTACATTTAATCCGCCGATAGAATCCTTACACGATTCCAATGTTCTTTCATCCTGCTCGAACGTACGCGTTTCCTTCGAGGGAAAAAAGAACCGAAAGCACATCGGTCGTAACTAAAATGCAACTGTGATCGTTTGATATCTATAAACGTAAGCAAGATTGTTTTTACGTCACGCAAGGCTGCCAGCGTCCTCCGAATAACGTTCGTATATATATACACATCGTGCATTCGATTCTTTTCGCCGACGAATGAAAGGCCGATAACGAATGGATATTTTTTTAATCAAACGGGCGATGGTTAGGTAAAAGCAATGTGTTGTATGTGTGTTGAGAGACTCGAAAGAATAGAGCCTTTCAAAATTCCCGATTACGCACGTTGTATGTATATATAAAATCGTGAACAATAAACGTCACATTGCCTTTACTTACAACAGTACCTCGAGGTAACGATGCTTATACACGGTACAAAGCCGAGAAATGTTAAATATCACGAGTCGAGCGACAAATTATTAACTTGTACAGTTGTAAGATTCGTTGAAATATTTGGTAACGAATAAAAATTCTCTTTCACAACCTCCGTCTCTCGTAACTTTACAGAAATTATTATTGGACCGAAGCGAGAGATATTAAACGACTGATCGGGATTTTTCTGACTTTTTTAACTGAAAATCTAGATTATCAATTTTGACCATTCTTTGCAAACCGATCACAGTGGTCATTGTAAGTGTTTACATAGAATAAAATCAGAGATCGGTGGTTTCCTTGAAGAATGGTCAGGTCTATGAGAGAAATCGGAATTACGTAAATTAAAACTCGGATTTAATCGCTACTTTTAATTGCTATATTGTGTCCAAACTCTGTTAAGATTACTTTTACTGCAAATCAATCGCTTCGCTCCAGTATGTCAGAAGCGGATGGAGGCCTAGTATTAATATTATAGTAGACTCTCGTTATATTGCCGTGGTAGGGCTAAAAATTTTTCAAGCTTCCAAACTCTAATTATCTAATCATTTCCAATTTCTACTATTATTGTTACACTGGAAGTCGCACACCCTCTCCAAAATCACAGATAATATTAATATTACTGCAGACTCTCGTTATATTGCCGCGGTGCGAGTAAACATTTCTGAAACTTCCAAACTCTAATTAACTAATCATTTACAATTGCTACATTTATTATCAAACTGGAAGCGTTTCATCGACGTCCATTGAGCGTAATGTTTTAACACGGTCCAACCACGTAAGGTAGTGAATAATCCGAGTCATCTTCCACTAATTTAAGACGCAGGTTTTTCTACCGACAGCATTACTTCTACCTTTATTGCTAGTCGCCTCGCCATTCGGCGGTGGTGCATCGCCCCGTGCATGTTGCTGCTGACGTGCTTGTCGCACTTTCATTATTCTCATCCTTAGGAACTCAATTTTCGCCCGAGAATCGTCCAGCATTTGTTGAGCCTCCTGTAGCAGTTTCTTGTCCCTGCCACTAGTTAAACTCTGTATCATATTCTCCGCCCCTTGTTTCACCTGCAACGTTAACGAATAAAACGATAGTATCAAATTTGTCTTTAAACATTGCCTGAGATTTTGTAAACGTAATTTCTAAATTTTCACGTCAACGGTGGATCACCTTTTTAAAAGAAAATTTCGGCATCGTCGGATGTACTCTTGGCAAACTCTGATAAGCGACTACGCGCTTCCTAAACATTGTAAGTATTCACCAGCTTGCTGGGTAAACCTATTATACTCTGAAACCGATCGCGTAATACGACGTAGGAATACGATTTTCATGCTAGATAGATCACGGTAGACATTGAAAATTTTGTTGACATTTGTAGGCTGGCAAATGGCCAGAATCAATAATTCGCAGTTTTCTTTTTATCTTTTCTGTGAAGCTACCAATAATTTTCCAATCATTTTCAATCATTTTCTCTAACGATAACATTGCAATATTGCCTCTTGATGAATTGCACTTTCGCGTGCAGTAAGCTTGCTACTCTGATTACTTATTAACACGTTGATTAGTAAAATTACCGACACCGCAAATTACATATGCCTGAATAATTAAAAGGAAACAATAGAAAAACATTATTTTAAGTAATATCGTTATGGTACATGTAATGTAAAATGGTAGAGAGCTTAAAATTTTTTGTGGGACGTATTAAAGCTCTAATTACTAAGAACAGTAATAATTAGTTTTCAAATTTCAAATTTCAACCTTTTTATTTGCCATTTCATATTATTTGTACCATAACAATATTACTTAAAATCATGATTTTCGATTGTTTTCTTTTAATTATTCAGCCGTGTATAAGTTGCGGGGACGGTCACCGGTGACCCCCATGGAGTTTTAGATTTTAGAATTAGAGCTTCGATACGTCCTATAACAAATGACCATTTTCACCGTGGCGTTCAACGTGTTAAATCACCGTATGACGAAGTGCAAAGATATCTTCAACGGAGAATAAGTGGCGACGATTCGTCGGTGATTCATACAACGACAACGAATCACCGACTGATTACTATAACATTGGTAGCGTTACAGAAACGCGATACATATGTTTCATTACACAATGATAATTAGCTTGAATCTCATTTCGTTCAAAGACGATTCAAGTAATTTCTTAGACGATCGGTGATTTTTCTCTTTTCTTTTCTCTCTTCGCGAACGAAGTCTACCTTGAGTTCGATATTGAGCTGCTTCTCCAAGGACAAAAGACGAAGATCCGTGAATAGACCCTCCTGACTCGGCGACGACGGCCCCATTGGTGACAGAGGCGTGTCTGAAACGAAAATAGGCGTTGAAAATAAAAAGCTGACCCTTGATCCGATCTGAGATCGTTGAAATTGTTCAAAAATCAAACTTCTGTGTCGAATATTCTCTCTCTAAATTAGCGTACGTTCGATATCGACCAGTCTGACGTTTAGAATTACAATTACACTCGTGGTAATTCTTGCAAACGCGTCTCGTTTCCTGCCTACGAGAGTCTCAATAGTGAAATCTTGGAGAACTCGAATCCTACTTCCTGTAACCCACTGGGGATATCTCGAAGGTAGTCTAAAGACTCCCACGTGTTTAATGCACTCCCAAGTACAATGCGAGCGTGGAAGGAAGAGAAAAGAAACAAAAAAAACACGTTGCTCTTCTTTGTTTCACCAGAGTACACCGTTAACTCGGAATTTTCCCATCGCTCGTTTTCACTAAACCCATCTCGCGCTACCAGGCGATAGCAGCGAATGAGCGTAAGGTAACAAACCGAAAGCACGAATCCGGAAATTGAACTGCAGTGGTACCTCGGTATACGTCTGTTTTGGAATACGTCCAATTCGGAATACGTCCTGTTTGGACCTGACATATTTCACTCGTTATACGTCATTTTTAAATAATTATCTCAGACGAAAAATTAATAATCAATTATATTTAAAATTGATGTATTATTAACTGATTGATCATACAAGAAAGGATATCATATAATAAACTATAACCGCAAAACAGGAAGCAATACAATTTATTCCATTTGATTTGTTCATTTAGAATCTATCATTAATTTACAAATTAATTACGTTAAATAAACTAGTGAATATTTTTTTTAAACTTTAAGAAAATCGTTTAAATGCTGCTCATGACATAAACAGTGTTTCAATTATTTTACAACTCCATTAATAGGGTTTTTTTTTTTACATGAGAACAGATTAATCATTTTTCCGTCCTATTCAAGAACAGATTAAGGTCGTGTACCAAGGTACCGCCGTATTCGTACCCTTCGAATTAGAGTTTCGGTAGGTCCGACTATAAATGTACATTTTCACTGCGCCGATCGACGCGTTTATTCCAAAGCTTTCTCGTTTATGGTCGTCTGCCAGGAATAAATTAAACAGAATTTATCGGCAATATTATTCATTTGCATCGATCTTCGGCAAGGTTATCGTTGAGAGGATAGAAAAAAATCGACTACGTTGCACAATACCTAGATCAGAAAGGTAGATCGCAGGATAAGTGCGCGGAAACGTTCTGAAAAACGTGGTGTCAGAATTATAAGTATCACTTCCGGGCGGGCCGGAACTTGGAACAATTACAGTAATCAATTCCACTTACGTAATTATATCGACGGTGTTTGCGAAACGTACGCGACTCCCGTTTTAATACCGCCGGGCACGCCCTGATACTCGTAATTTTCTTTTTACACGTCCTGCACCGAGGGATACAGATTTCCTGTGCGTATCGAGCGTAAAACGCGAGTCGAACAACGACGAAAATATTGATCCTGTTTTTTTTTTTTTCTCACCCCGAATCCCATGAATCGCGTGCCTCGAACGCCGTTAACACCGGCGCGGGTGAAAATGGATCGGCGTGGTCGGAATTCCCTTTCTAAACGTTCGATCGCGCGATTTCGCGTTAAGCACCAGGGTGCTGGAAGGGTTATTAACGGACATGAGGTTTTCGAAAAAAAAAAAAAAAGGAAAAAGAAAAACTTGGAGGAGATTTCTTTGGGAGCGAAGGAAGCGTGAAGGTCCCTCCGAATGATTTATCGTAAATATAAGCGACAGGGCGGATTTAGCCAGCCGTAGGGAAAGCAACGGTAACGACGTGCAAACGTGCACCGCCGACAAAGAGACGCGTATGCACGGGCAACTGCACTTGCGTTGCACCGTCGGTGCACACGGTTAGCCTGACATGTCCGAATAAGGCGAGCGAGACGGAAAGAGAGGAGAATAAGGAGGATATCGGCCATGGGAATGCATACGAGCAACAGCTACGCTGGAATCGGACAACCGATACCTGGCCAATTCCATTCGGTGACCATTATAAGGGACGAGAACGAAGGAAGATGAGAAGTTGCCAATTCTTTTGCAACAATTATCGGACATTAAGGAAAATATCGATTCGATTCGACGAACTCAACCGGAAACTCGATGTTCTCCGATGAACATTGCGAAAGGAGATAATAAAGAGACGTACAGTGGGTGGTGAAATTATTAGAGGCACTCGCATAAATTGATGATTTTACTTAAATGAAAAATATTTTAAATGTATTTGTCAATAGTAGAGAATTATTGATTAAAAGTTACACAATATAAAAATTTTAAAATTGTGCCTCTATTTCCACGCAAACGCGAAAAATTCATTTTTCATACTCTAATAATTTCACCACCCACTGTACATACATTGCTTTCAAAGGGGAAAAGGGAATTAAATAGGAGGATAAAATAATAGAAAATTCGTGAAAGAAAACAGTGAAAAATGATGGAGGAGGTCATGGGACAATACGAGCATCGAGGAGTCCGTGAAACCATGTCATTAGCGCAGTAACAGAACACGTGCCCCATTATATTCCGTTTCTGCGAGCTAGGGGAGACGACAAAGGCCTTCCTTGTTTCCCTGCTACAAAACTGCACACGACTCTTCCCTGCACCTTCTTTCTCTCCGATTCCCTAGCGCGAAACAATGAATGGAATTATTGACACAGCCGCGCTTTTGGAAAAGAAACGCACGCGAGATGAACGCTCGTTTCCTTTTTTTTTTGTTCTTCCAGCTCGATGAGCCGTTGCTATCTTCAACGAGTTGACGACCTCGGGGTTGCAACCCCTTCGTACACCCGTGTATGCAAACTTTTTCGAAGCGTGTGTAATTTTCTAGAACGACAGACTTGCGTGAAGAATGAATAAAGAAAGGAAAAAATGATTCGCGTTTAATGGAAATTAAAAATGTTAATGGCCGATGTCTGTAATGCGATTTCCTCTCGAGGTGCGCTCGACTGACTCTCTTCGTTCATTCACGATTTCGCTCGTACAATTTTCTATATAGCTGCGATTCACACATACGAGAGATCACAAAGCGTGAACCCGAGGGCTGCTACACTTCCTACCGCATATATTAAACGCACGAAAGAAGCAATTATTCCCGTATCGTGAAAAGGGGTGATGGAATTGGCGTGCTCCGCAACATCCTCGTTACGGGAACGAGGAAAATAATTAACTCGACTATAAAGTTAAGAACTCGGTGTGCGAGATAAAGCGAGAATCAGTTGCGTCAACTCTTGCGATGGAATATTTGATTAATTAGCTTAAATATTGCTCAACCATTGTATCCCGTTGAATCGATGGAAAAGAATTCTCAGTTCCGAGAATGTACAGGCGTTGATTGCTAAAGGCTAACGTTAGAGCGGTGTTCGATCGGAAAGCGGAAGTTGGTAAGGTGAGAGGTGAACATTTTGGTACTTAATAATCACGGACATTTAATTGTTATCGGTTAAAAGTTATTAACACAAACATTTAAAAGTGTCCAGAATAAATTTCATTAGTGTCCAAGCCGTCACTAATCGTTGATTTGCGAGCACGAGTGATTTGTTCGCTGGTTTTACGATCGCAGAGAAAAGCGCGGTCTCGTATCGCGTCTACCTTATCCCAACAAAAACATCCTGTAAACAGGAGCCAAGTTCGTTAGCTTAGAAACACCTCTCGCAATACTGAAAAAAGCTTTTGTGAAAATTAGGTTACAAGAACGCTACTTAATTTTTGAAGAGTTACATGGAGGGATAAATTATTCAAACTTGGCCGTTACTTTTTAAACCAATGGCGATAAAAAGTGTTAGGTATTAAAAAAATTGCGTAACATCAAGTGCGCGAGAGGAAAATAGGACGCGATGTTAAACGGCGGTAAACGCGCAAGGTGTCGAAGAACGAACTCGCGTAAAACCGTGACGCGATTAACGTTCGTCCTGTTCTGGGCTTACGGGCCACCCAGTGAAAGGATAACAGAGCCGGCGAGAATTCAGAAGTATTCGCCAGGATTTCGAGAACTATGCGAATTTCGAAGCACAGATGTGTTTATCATGGAATGGTTAAGTTTCTAAGCCGGTTGAATCGTCGCGTGATTTCACATCCGCTCGGCAGCAGGTAGTCCCTAAAGGAGAAGGTAGGGCGCCCCGAGGGTCTCCCTGGATACTCGACACGTTGGAATGCGAAAGCGTGGGTTCGGGTTCGGGTTCGGTTGAAACGCGATCTCGATAGACGGGCGGGCACAAATGCCCCGCGGGCTAAACGCGCAACGGTACTCGGCCCCGCGCGCGCGCTATCGCGCCGACCCGATCGACTATCGTAATTGCGCTCTTGATCGTATTACGCGTGTGTATGCGTCCAGGCGCGGACCTATCGAGCGTGCGAGCACGTTTTCACTGTCCCTCGCGGTGAAGGTGTGTTACACGCAACGAAGCCAGAACTCGAAGAACTGGAAAGTGAAGGAGAGAACCCTAGCGTACACCGGTGTACTCGTTATACGTCCCCTCGCGGCGGTGTACTCGCCGGAGGAAAGGAGAGAACCAGGGTACTTACTTTCTCCTGAATCCGTGGCACCGTCTCATCCGCGATATCTTATTCTAACCCTTCATAGCCGTAAAATAAACGCTCGAGTTTCTACCGATAAATCTGATCTTGCTGATTGTAGAAGAAAAACTGTTTCAACGTTAACCAGAAGTGAATCCGAATGAAATATTCTCACCACGGATCGAGCATCCGTGTAACTGACCGTTTAACGAGGACTGTGTTTAACTAGAAGTTTCAGAAAGTAAACCAGTTATTCGCGAGAGGGTAACTACGAAGGTGGTGCGTTTCAGTTGCATTGTTAAGGCCTGTTCTGAATGGCATAACCATCAAAGAGGAGGCTGAATGAGGTAGCTCGAAGGCAGGTTGTTGCTAGTCCCCAGAATGTATGATGACTGACTTAACTGGAGTGGATAGAGCGCGTCTGGGTCCACGGTATAAATAGATGCTACCACTTACCGTCAATTCAAACAGAACACAAGACTACGGTTCTGGTTCGCGAACGAGTACGTAGCAAGCCTCGGGGCTCGTCACGAAACACCGATGATTGTTGACTGCTACTGCTATCCATCGGCGTAGTTAATCAATCAAGGTCGATCGAACTAGAAGACCATCGATCATTCTGGTACCATTTCGTACCACTTTCTCTGATCCTCGATGAGAATTAAGAAATTCGCAAAATAGATAGAAACGAAGAATAAGCATAAAAATGAAAGTGTTAAAAATACCCCTAAATTCTAAAGATAAGGGAGACCGGGTATGGTTGTCACGATTGTTATTAAAAAGAAACTAAACAATAGAAATGTACTGATAACCCATGGCAACGTATTGTCACCACTCCACGCGTGGGTGTACAATGTGTAACCCGCAATATTCGTAGGTACCGAATTGATCCATTGGACACACTGGTATCAGATAAAACGGTACATTGCTCGCGATCGTACGATAGACACGACGTATCTGAGATTCTACGCCGGTGACTATTCAGAGTACCATGACCCCCCGATTACGAGGATCGCGGTTAATCGTTTCTAATTCATGCCCGACGAATGGGTGCACGGTGCGCGACAGCGTTCTATAAACGAGGGAAATGACCAGCCGCGCTCCGACTGGAAGTCTCATTGAAAGCACTGTTTTCATCGAATAGAAAATGCAAACGTAGATGTTACCATTCGAACACATGACTAATTAACTCTTATCGAAGTTTCTCACGTTCCATCAGTTGAGGATGAAATATTCGATTACGAGAATAAAAGCACAAAAATGAGGATTTTAATGGCAGTTTATCGAAGCGCGCATCGTTGAATCCGTCGATGGAAAGATTGGCGTGCAACGGTTATGGGTTCTAGGAGTTGGACACGGTCGATTTGCGAGCGAGAGCAAAGCGAGTAGCCGGCTGCTACTCGTACGCGCGTTTCAGCCTTTATAAAACCGAAGACGTCGTCTCGACGGCTCGTTAGCGGGTGGAGTTATTAAGTGGCTGCTCGTTAACGACACGCTGAGCACTCGTTAGCCTGGTAGCAGGGAACGTACCGTAACGTTAGCCATTACCTCGATGTATCGATAAGTTGGCCGATGAATAAGCGGAAACATTAATTGATACGTCGAAAAGATAGATAGCGTAGCACGGTTTCCCGCGGTTTCGTCTACGGGACAAAAATGTTTGGGTACCTCTGCTTTAAAAGATAATCGCGATTCATATCGGTTGAAAATTGATCAAGATTTTCGCGAACTACTTGTCCAGGTTCGAATACCGATTTCACGCGATTATCAGGAAAAATCCTTGAACTCGTTCGACGGTATCGATGGTTGGAGCGTTCTCGCGCGGTACGGTACGCGGCAAGCCGAAGCAGTAATTGATCGGCACGAAGTCTAACGCACCGGGCATTACATAAAACCCGTTTAGGCCTCGCACGAGTCCTGCCTTATCCTCTCGGTCAATGCCATGCAACGTTAAGGCGAACAGAAAGATGGTATCTCAGCCCGTTGTCGAGCGTGCAACGACTTTTGCCTTACCTTGACCGTTCGAGTGATTTTGTTGGGGCGACTGCGGCTGGCCCTGCGTCAATATAATTTGACTCTCGAGCTGTTGAAGCTCGGCCTGGAGCTCGTTCAGCTTACTGTTCGACTTTTTCACGATCGACGCCACGTCCGACAACGCTTTACGATCGGTCGCCACTTCCCTCAGCTTCTCAGCGCCAGCCTTTATCTTCAACTCCTGCAACGAAACGGTGAACGTTCATTCTCAGCTGATCTACGAAAACCTGATCGTTCGATTAGCGGAGAAACTCTGATAAAAGTATAAATTTTCATATAAAAAACCAACTTGTGGTCGTGTGAAAGCACCGGGGAAGGTGGAAGGAACGGAATTTCGCTTGACGAAGTACGGATGCGTACGATCGATTATCATCGTCGATCGATAAAGCGTGTCCCGTCGTTCGAAACCACTCCTATACCGAGGCAAATGAGACGTGAAATTATACTCGGTGCTATCCTTTCGTTCCATTACCTCTTATTATTATATTCGCTACGAGTTTCTCCCCGGTGAACGCACCTGACTAATCGCGACCGGCGTGCGAATAATATTTGCCAGTGGTATTTAACGAAACAACGACCTGTATATCGTGCAAGGCAAGTTTGTTGTTTCACCTAGTTCCAGCATGATTTACTATCTCCGATACTAGACGCGCGAACTATCATCGCTTAGGTAAATCTAAGAGATTATGTGAACAGAAGTTAATTCAATATAAGATTGTTAACTTGTAATTGTATTTTTAACCTTTTCGCTACGGCGAACTTGAAAAATAAAAATAGCAAAATAATAATCTCGTAATATAAAATAAAATAGAAGTTAAATACAAGAAATCGGCAACCATAGAGATAACAATGTAATTTAAAAATGAATGTGAAATTTAGCAAAGGACTAAAGTCACCGTTAGCAGCGAAAGGGTTAACGGAATACGATCGGTTGAAACTAATTATTAAATCAAGATACTGTAAAGGTTACTTATGGAAGTATGAATAGAGAAAAATTCTGGGTGAATGGGAGGAGAATAATGTTCTCCATAGGTCACTGAAACCTATGCTTTCCGACCACCCTCGAGCTTTCCGTTTGAATCCATTCAAGACTGGAACTATTACTTCGTTCAAGTATCATTTCGAGACGATTATCTCATTTAGAAGATTAACGTAGAAAAGAAATTTAGAGGGTCGTTACCGCTGCACCCTTTGACTCATTGATTTCTAACAACTTTTTCATTGTTACACCTGGTTGCTCGAACCACCAGGTAATACCTCGTCTCGTTACCGTTTCGCGAGAGATTCCTTCTCTTTTTTTTTTTTCTCTTCGAAATATAACGATAAATTCCGAGCTGGATCCATTAGTCAGGCGGAGGGTGCCGGTTTTCAACGAGAGTGCCATCAACAGTTTTCTCTGTTTCTCACCTGGAAAGAAAGGAAAAGGAGAGAGCCGTTCGGAGGAGACAGAAGCGAATAAAGGAAGAGAAGAGAAGGGAATCCGTTTCTCGTGCGACCGGTGGCTACCGCGTGTACGCGGTGAGCCCGGGGAAAAGGAGAGCTTCGGAGAAGAGGTGTACAGACGAGAAGGATACGCGCGAAACTCGGCATACCTTGCGTATTTCTCGGCGTATGTGCTCCCGGAGCTCGTCGAGACGAACCGGCAAGGGCACCTGGTCACTGCCAGCCACTCCATACTTGCTCGACAGTTCGTAAAGAACCGGGTGCTTGATGTAATCGCCCTGAAACAGATTTCAGAATTCGATTATTCGATGCCGTTACCTTTCTCCCCTTTCACCGCCTTATCGCAAATGTATCAATTTTGACAAAAATTAATCGTTCGTCGCGATAACATTTTATCTAATGGAAACGATAATAAGCGATTCCCGAAGTGCCTCGCCCGCACAAGGGTTAAAAATGAATTCATTTACATATCCTACGTGTTCGATCTATTTCTATGCCGGTTAATCCTGGCAGTGACAGATTCGCATTTTTTCCCCCCCGGGAATAGCCAAGAAAAATAATAGTTTGTAAATTTGAGGAGAACGTCACTGAACACACGATTGGAAATTGTCTGCCGCGGATGCGCACCCACACACGTTCGTCCTTCTCTGCTTTTATTCGACCGCGGTTAGAAGGCGGGGAGAAAATATTAAACTTCCCGTTGCTGGTATCGGTACTGTATGCGCTTCGTAATAACAGATCTCCGATACTGCTTACGATCGATCTATATTTAAACGATTCGCTACGCGGCAAAGCCGATAAAAACGTTCAATTTAACAGCAACGTCCGTGTTATCTCGGATACGTGTGTAATCGTTCGTACATTTTACACGATCATCGCCAGGTTTCCAGATAATTGTGTACAAAGAAAGGATTAGAATCTAATGATTTAAATGTCTACTCGTAAGAAATCATACCGGGCAGGGCAGGATGCAGGTCCAGAAATATTTAGGTTTGCAAGCCTTCGTCGTCGACAAACACCGACACATACGCGGCTTCTTTCCCTTCTTGCCCGCCGAGACACACGACATTGTTCAACTTTCCTATTCCACGTGAACAATAAACGAGCTAAGATTTTCTATTCATCTTTTTACGGTCCACGAACGTGCGGATTCGCCGTTTCCGTCGCGAGGCCGTGAAGCGATGCTTGTTAACGTTACACCGAATACAAAACGTTCGATTCGTGCCGTGTAATCGACGAATCGAAACAGACAAACGCTCTTCGACCACCTGTTGCAGAAAGCAACGATTTTACAAAATTCTTTACTCTTTTTTTTTTTTAACTTCACGGACGATGTTCGCGTGTACGGTTTGCAAGAATTCACGGCTTCACGGCATCGCTACTTGTTCAACTTTTATATAAATCAACGACTCACGATGGAACAACAGTATCTTTGTACACTCGCGCCGATTCATCGGGTCGGACTGTAGAGACTGGCGATGTCTTATCTCTTATCAGGTAACGCGATAACAACGATTGTAAATAGCGAAAGTGTTGCGATAACTTCCTTCGCGCGTGAAATTTAACGCTTATCGTGATTCGAATCTAATTGTATAGCTAATCAAGTGTACAGTAGTTTCAATATTCGTTATTTAAGTGTATACACGGTATTACTAATTAAGCTCTGGACTTTAATGTTCTCAATTCTTCTTCTATCGAACTGAGGAAATAAGGACTTGGAAATTCTTTCTTTCATCAACTTTCTTCTTTCGCTATGCTTCTCTATGGATACCAAGAATTCGTCCGGAAGGTCGGCGACGCACGGTACTTAGGCTTTTCTTTAGTGAAGTTTAACGTTCTCCATTCTTCTTCTATCGAACTAAAGAAATAAGGACTTGGAAATTCTTTCTTTCATCAACTTTCTTCTTTCGCTATGCTTCTCTATGGATACCAAGGATTCGTCCGGAAGGTCGGCGACGCACGGTACTCAGGCTTTTCTTTATCCAGTTGCAGCTCATAACTATTCTCCTTATACATATGCAGCATATAGTTGAATTCGTCTGGAAATGTGTAATGAAATGCTAGTAATAAAAATATAGAATTCTATTTTTTTTTAAATTAAGAAACGTTTAAGTCTTCCTGTGTATACACTTAAACCAAATATTTGCTGTACTATTTGCAGTATTCTGAATCATTCTTTCCGATTCTCTGTAGTCGACATAATTAATATCGTCTCTGTTGGCAAAGCGAATCTCGATGCCGTTTCTCAATCCAAAATCCACTCCTATCAACGTCGCCTCCGAGATTTCCTGTTCGCAACGTGTAAAAACTTTATTTGCAGTCGGTTTGCGACGAAGGTTTCTCGCAACAGGCCGTAAAACGTTCGCGGACGATGCAAAATCGGGCCGTAGCGGGTGGAACGATTTAAAGAAGCAACGAACCCCCGAAGCAAATATATACATGAGTCGGCTGGTGTGCGTTTGACACACTGACGCATGAGCTATTTTCATGCATTCCGTAATATGTGTGCCATGCATAATAATCCCAAGAGGTCAACAGTCCTACCGAGAATCGCTATAACATGAAAAAAAAAAAAAAAAAAAAAATTCTGAGATCGAAGCTGTTCATGAACGTAATCAATAAACCAATGGCTACCGGATGTTATTGCTATAAAAAAGAAAAAATTATTTCATTTCGTAATGTCCATCGTACGTATCGCACAAGATGTTCGATATACGCGATACATGAAACAGATTTGCTTGCAAGCGTCGAAGTCTGAATTTTAAACTTTCATTATAGACTCACATAAGAAAGTTGAATTGGGGCCCTAGGCGACCGCCTAGTCTGCCTAGGCCCAGGGCCGGCCCTGACAATATTATTAAAAAATGACATCTTTCAAGAATTCTAATCATAGGCGTCTATGCGGTTATGATTAATCGCTATCAGAAAATAGAACTCGGGATTAGTACAGCGCCGCGCAAGGCTGACCAACGTGTACCATTTTATTTTTGGGTTACGCACAACGCAAAGCATCTGTTAGCGAATTGCGAAAGTAAAGCAAATAATCTAGCGCGATTGGACAATTCAATCGTAAATAAAATTAATTCGATTTGGAAAGTATTCTGATTCGTATAAAACAGATTTCGTGTATATCGTTATCGTTCGGTCGTAAACATGTCAAAAATCAGGAACGGCGAGGTGATAAAGCATCGACGCTTTATTTCAAGCCTAATCGAAATATGTAAATTCGAATATGTTATAAAATTTGAGAAGAAGAAAAATGCAAGTTGAATACCTAAAAGTTTCGAACCGGTAATTGTCGAGACAAAGATCTGATCGGAAAAATCCGTTAAGGCAACGTTTTATCTCCGGTTGCAATGGAGTTACGATACAATCACGCTCCTGTCAGAATGATTCTCAGCCGTTGCTCAGCTACGCTTTGACAAACTGTGCGCCTCTATAGGCTCGTAATGTCAGGAAATACCACTTGTCGACGGAACAGGTGCTACCAGGAACTGTTTGGAAAGTTCTTGGAAGTATACGAAACGAATTGAACAGATATCAGGTGTGCACGGCTCGTCACGGCTCGTTTAACGTAGACCGGGTTCGAACCGTTGATAGTCATAATTCACAAAGAAATCAGCGATCATCATTGTCTTCGGGGAAAACCGTTTCTTAAACTTTATAGGGACGAGTAGTGTCGCGTTGCAGGCGAAATATAGGTAGGAAAGAAATAAAGAAGCAGTATTTGTAAAGTGATCGAATAACGCTTAAAGCGATATTTTATTATGGCGGCTGGGAATCATCGGTCGGGCGGCGACCAACGCGCACCAGTTCGTAAAGAGAGCGTGGATGGACCTGCGACTCACCTGATAATAGCTTGATTCCGCCATCTTGGACACTATACTCCACTCACTCACTCACTGCTTTCTATCCGTCCTTTGTGCATGAAACGGCGATGTCCATTGTGTTAACACGATTAATGTACGTTACACCATCGAGCTGGTCGGAAGTGTCTGCATATTTAATACGTTTACCGCGCACCGTTCAGTACCGTCCACGAAAATATTTCCAAGTAACTCTCGTCGGATTGGAAGCGACACCGAAGTTACTACCACAAACGAGTATGAATGAAAGACGCGCGGCTCGCGAACAAAACCCAGACACGAACACATTCCACCGCATCAGACTGAAGACTGACGGAAAGTGCCGGGCCAATCGTGGCCGAAAGGCGCGCGCACTGTTGTACTTCCTCCACCGCTAACCGTTAAAGGTGTGTTCACGATGTCAATTTTACGATATCTTGCTAAAACAAGCTTTATTCATTGGCCAATTCCTATGGAACCGGGAAATAAGCAGCTGTTATGAAAATTTACAACGTCATTATTAATAAAGAGACTTTTCATTGTACATACATACCTTTTGTTTCATAATTAACACATTACCAACGGGGCATTTTTAAGGTATATTTCAATAAAACGAGAATTCTCGTTTCCCGTCGGTAATGTGTTCACAGGAAATCCCTGGAAAAATCGTGAGGTAGCAATTTTCTATAAATTATTAAATTTATTAAAAATTATTTTACAATTATGTATTATTTACAAATATCTAAATGTTTGTATGATCACATTTTTTTATTCTTCTTATACTCCCATGTATATTTAAATGGAGATCAATGTTTTTAAAAGATCCTCGGGAGTTCTTGAAAATAAACTAGTTGGATTTTGATATAAATTTTTAGGATCGTGGCATGCCTCGTATAATTGTTTGTAAATTGCTCCAATTACCTCGAAGGAGCGTTTCTGCGTTATCGAACGGAAATTATTACTTTGTAATAGGTTTATTTGTGGCAGTAGCAATACATCTGGCATTACCAGGAAAGCCTCCAATTTGTTCTGTAAAATATTAAAAAAAGACAATGAAATATTTACACTTTCTTATTTTTCATTCCATAATGAAAGGTACTTACTGTAAATTCTTTTACACTTAGAGAATCCATCCCTGGAACAGAAGACAATGGACCTTGTTCGTGCCCTTGTAAAATTGTATAAATTGATCCGAGATTAAGGTGGGCAACTAATGAACTGGCTTGTTCTGATGTAAGGGTATCAATTTGTGCATCAGATTGAGCCTAAAAGATACGTGCCATCTCGCTAATTAATAAAACGCATTAAAAACATTTTATAATGAAACAAATGAAGTACCTGCAGCCTTTCTAGTCGTTGATCCATGTATTCATACAATGCTAGAGTAGACTGTATTTGATGCATACAATTTAAAAGATATACAGCCATGTCCACCGTAGGTAATCTTGATGCTGTTTCATTAATTTCTTGCAAAAGTGGATCAATAATGCACGATACTATCTACAAATAATTTAGTTCATAATTTATCTCAAATTATATTGATTTTATAAAATAACTATTTCTTTTTGTAATACAAACTTGTTGCATGTCCTTTTCCCTATCTTCTGCAATACTTGCTACAGAAAGAATTTCATTAAGAAGCGCCATTAATCTGGAAACAGACGGAGCTGGTACTAAATCGTTTCCTGGCGGTTCTGCACGTTCACCAAGCAAAGCACGCGTTTCCTTTTGAAGTCTACTAAGAAAACTTCTTTCGCTTAATATTAATAAATCTGCCAGCGTTAAATCTAATGTACTATCTGGTATTACTTGTTGAATTATCGCACGATAAAATCGAAGAAGGGTTGTAATAGAGTATAACACTGTTGCTGGTGCGTCCATAGATATAACATGCTCTATTCTTGATTTCAAAGGATGACAAAGTCCTTCTGTGATATTACTTAAACATTGCTTAATCTGATCTGATAAATCTAAAATACATAATAGAAATCAGAAAAGAAAGCAAACGAGAGAAACAATCATTCGCTTCCTACCTGTTTTATCACAGCCTTTCACTAAAGTTAGAATATTCTCCTTTTCAACAGGAATAGCCTGATGAAGCCAAGCAAGCATGTCGCCAATATATCTCTTGGGATCATTTGCATGCATTTCAATAGGATTAGGTGTTGTACTGTATCCTTCTCCTAAGGTCAATGCATCGATAAAAGATCCTACCAGAGCAGTTCTTCTAGCTGCACAATATTCATCTAAAATATACCTAAAAGATACAAAAAAAAATTAAGCCTTGATACAAACTGTGAAATTAAGTTAAGGAGATTCCAAATACATACTTAAATAAGACTGGCCTATCTTGTAATTTACTCATTGCTTTAATTAGCAATACAGCCAAATGTTCGTTCTCAATATTTTTACACTGATTTTGTGTCCATCTGTACAACCTTTCAAGAGCTGCTTCTTGTAACAATGTCATTCTTTGCATAATATCTAAAGCTAGAGTTTGATATCCTGATTGCATTAATACTCTGCAGTTGCTATGAATTTCCTATGATTCAAAATAATTATGATATATTTCTTTAATATTATTCTTTGACTTTATCATACCTGAACTCGATTGACTACAGAAAAGAATTCTTCTGTAATAGGCGATTCTCTGGTAGATCCATGTAAAATATTTAGCTCCGATGAGGTCAGTTGAAAATTTTTAATAAATGCATTTGCAACTTCGTGATGCATAGATAATGTTTGACTGAAAATGTTAACAAAACATTACATGTACATTTCTTTGTACAGAATCATTTACCGATTACCTTTTGCTCTGAAGTTTAGTTGTTTGATCGATGAGCTGCGATGTTTGAGCTTTTGTAACTTGTAAACGATTCGTCATACATTGAACTGTTGTATTCATAGCTAAAACATCTTGATACAGATCATCCAAAGAAGATTTTACTTCTCGAAATGCAGATAAGAATTCTTCATTTATTGCAAGACTTCTCCTCTCTATTTTACTACGTAAATTTCTGCGGGAATTTAAAGTATTTTCCGTAAAGAATGTAGATAACTCTTTTAAAGCTTCCAATGTATCCTAAAGGGAAAAAAAAGACATTTTAAACAATAACGTTATTGTTATTTCGATTTGTATAGGTTCTATAATAGAATTTAAATACTTTGTCATGCTCTACTCTTGATTCGAGTAATTTGTTAACCCTTCGAACTAAAGCAGTGTTAGGATTTTTTTCACTCATTTTAGATAAATTATTTTTTTGTCGTGAAATACATCGAGGTGTATAACCTATTTATCTCAGAAGTGTCACGTAGCAAAGACTAATTAGTAAATTGAGTTGAGGTGGGGCACGACCATGTACATATACACCGCAGTTCACCAGAGTCCATAACTGCGAAAAGACCAGTTTTCGTTCTTCGCGCTTCTCCAGTGCGCATCTTCGCCCTGATTGGCGATACTCCCAAACGAAGTGGAAAGCGATTAGCCGAGAGCTCGCTGCGTTCCCCCACCATCTTCCAACCTGTGCGTCGCAGTTATGGACTCTGGTGAACTGCGGTATATGACCAATCAGATCCGCATTCCTTCCAATTATCAATATAGCAGACGCGAACACTACAGATCCAACAAGTCATGAATGTGTGCTTCAAAAACGACCGCCATTTGCCTCGTGAAACACTTCGCACTTTCAGTTGTTAGTTCGACGTATGGTAAAACTGGGATTGATAAACATAATTGTCATACCGACCGTGCTCTGTACATGGAGACCTAACTTCACCTCGGGGTATTTGATACCCCAACATTATGACGCATCGAGAACAAAGATATGTCAAGCCTTTTTGTATCTGTAGTCACTGGATTGAATAAAATAGTGATTTGTTTGCGGCGTTTTTGTGCAATCTGAGCAAAGAAATAAATGGGCGTGTAGGAAAAGAACTTTTATTTCTGTATTATTAAATAAAATGGAAACGAGTACCGAACAAACCCCCGTGTCTACCGAAACCGTTCCCAATAATGAACAGGAGCACAATGAGGAGGGTATGGAAGAAACTGAGGATTACAGTTTCGATGGAGAAGATTATAGGCATTTCGTACCACGGGGTCGAGGAGGCTTTAGGTGCGTTATAGTTTTTCTTAACACCCCATACATCCCCACTTTCACCCGTTGTCCAAAATACGAAAGCAAATAGTAAGGTTAGGTTGTCCCCTCATGATACTTCTGACTGACCTCTTAATGTATGCTTGACGAAAACGATCAAACTTCGCATTGCTACGAACTCCTTACACCTTAATAAATACTCTATGGTAACGCGACTATTGTCTATACTTACGCTCCGATACGATGAAATTATTTGCCCATAATTGTTCAATATTGTGTTTTATCAATTGTATAATACATTTTCTATAATAACCAAGTTTCATTTGTGATTGTATATTGTTTTTTACGTTGTGAAATATAAAATGCGAAAAGGTAATGATACTTTCATAAATGTTTATGATACTTTTTTTCAACAGTAGTAAGATTAATTTGTACATGATAAATAAATAATTTAAATGGAAAATTGTTGCATTGATGTTCCATTTTCTCTTGTAAATACAAAATAAGAGCCAACAAGAAGATGATCTGTGCTCTTGGGTAAATGATTCAGACGTATGGTACGTAAAGTACATGGTCAAGACAAAATAACAATAATTTAAGGGGTCGTGGCAGAGGTGGGTTTGATTTCCCCATGAGAGGTGGGCCTCCCAGATTTAGAGGAAGAGGATTTGGACCCAGAGGACCAATGTTTCGAGGAGCAAATAACGGATTTCCATTTGAGGGACCTCCTAGGCCCAATTGTCCGCCAGGCCCAGCAGGACCACGCTTCCGGGGACCTCCACCGTTTGATCCTAGTTGGGGACCGATGGGGCCACCTAACCTGATGGGACCGCCGAATCTCATGGGACCTCCAGGAATGGTAAATATTGGCAGAGGTTTAATTACCTCTTTTAAATTATACTTCAATAAATTGATTAAGTATAATTTAACTTTATGTGCGATTAGCCACCGCCACACATGATGAATGGCCCAATTGGGACAGGTCCGGGACCATACGGACCACCTCCTGGAATGGGACCACCAAATATGAATAACGTAAATTTTGATTTACAGAACCATAGTGGGATATATAAATATTACATTATAACCAAAGACATTTTGTTATAGATTCCAGGTCAGCAGCAACCCCAGCAGCAACAGGCGCAACAACAAGCAAACATTCCAGGCTTAGACCTCAACGGGGAAGTGTGGGTAGAAACAAAAACACCGGATGGCAAGTCGTATTATTATAACATTCGTACAAGGGAAACTACATGGACAAAACCAGAGGGACCAAATGTTAAGGTCATGGTGCAGGACCAGGTCTGTTTTATCATTAAGTATCATTTTTGTAGTAAATTTTAATCCGTCGAAGACGGAGTCTAGTGGCGTCTCTAGCGGCCGACGTCGGCACATGGTACGGACCTATTCGCGGCCATTTAAAAACCTCGCGTTATCACCCAATATCAGATTAAAAAATAAAGCATTTTAGCATTTCTTTTTAAACTAATTTCTTAAATAAACAATATCCAAGAATTTGATTCATTGATAGTTTATAATAACTCGGCCATATTAGAAAAAACGGGAAATCTTTCGTCGTCCCTGAAGGGTTAATTACACGCATAAATTTAGTAAATATTTCCATGAAATGATATTAATTTCTGTTACAGTTAGAACAATTGGTGCATGGAGCGTCTAAACAAACGGTTCCGTCTAGTACACCTACTTCTACAGCCACCACCCCCAGTCAAATTAGTGAAAATAGAGTTTCTCAAAGTAGTGAACAACCCCCTGCGAATAATGCAGATGCTATTAATCAACTTAGTACAGCCCCTCCTGGTACAGGTCCACCTCCTACTCTTGGTGAAACACCAAATGTCAACGTGCAGCCTACTGACTCAACACAGGCAAATGGTATAATATACTTATGATGTATCTGCATTGTTTTAAAATGTAGCAGAAATATTAGATAACATTATTTTTGATATACAGGTACGGCACCGGCTACCGTTACTAACACCCCGACTATGAATACCCCAGCAGTTAATACAAATATGATGCAACCTCCTCCTAATATGATACCTATGCAACACAGAATACCAAATCAATTTGGTGGACCAATTGCAACACAGTTTGGAGCAGCACCTTTTGGTATGCCACCACCAGGTTTCCAACCATTCGGAGGCTACGGACCACCGCAAGCAAATTGGGGTAACGTAAATTATACATTATATAGAAATTAATCTTTTTATCAATTTAATCCTTTACTGATAAAACTATACGTTAGGTATACCACAAATGCCACATGGTGTAATGACCCCACAAGCTCCAGCGGAAGACCCCGCTATATTAGCACAACTTGATCAAGAATTAGTAGCATCTGCTATGGTATGGACAGAGCACCGTGCTCCAGATGGCAGATTATATTATTATAATAGTAAAGCTGGAGAATCTGTTTGGGAAAAACCACAAGCTCTAAAAGATCTGGAAAGTATGTTGTTTGGGATGAAGATCCTCGAGTTGAATATTATAATATAAGATATTTATAATTTGATATTTCCTTAGATGCAAAATTAGCGTTACGACAAAAGGCAGAAGAAGCAGCTGTCAACTCTACAAATACAGCTGTAACTAGTTCTGCTGTCCCTAATAATAATGTTACCACCGAACCTATAAAGCAAGATAAGCCGCAAGAAAGTAATCATGAAACCAAAGATAGTGCAAAGGAAACAGATACTAATAAACCGAAAAAAGAGGAAGTGGCACCTAAGGAGGCTGCTAAACCTCAAGATAAATCTAGACCAATTTCTAGTACTCCAGTGCCTGGAACCCCTTGGTACATCTTCTAACGTTCATTCAGTACTTTTGTTTATGCGAGATATAAATTTAAACTTTGTTCATTAGGTGCGTCGTTTGGACGGGAGATGGACGCGTATTTTTTTATAATCCCTCTTCGCGTATTTCTGTTTGGGAAAGACCAGACGACCTTATCGGTCGTCAGGATGTCGATAAAATGGTGTCCACTCCACCGGATGCGGTGGTTGCTACCAAAACTCCGCGTCAATCGGACACGAGCGAAAGCAGCGATGATGATCAACCTACACCAGCGAAAAAAATGAAACAGGAGGATACTAAAAGTAAATCACATCAATGATGCTTGCATATTCTTGTTAATCATTTCAAAATAAACACGCGTGCTGTTTTCAGGTGTAACGCCTAAGGAAGAAGAGGAGAAGGAAAGCAAAAAGACTATAGATATCGGAAAGGAGGCTGCAATAGAGGCGGAAGTACGAGCAGCTAGGGAAAGAGCTATCGTTCCTTTGGAGACACGAATTAAATCATTTAGAGATATGCTTGCAGAGAAAGAGGTACATGATTATAATTCATGATATATCAATATGACACGTAAAATTTATTTATATTTATTTATCAATAGGTATCCGCGTTTAGTACATGGGAGAAGGAACTTCATAAAATAGTATTTGACCCCCGTTACCTGCTTTTGACGTCGAAGGAAAGGAAACAAGTTTTCGAGAAGTATGTAAAGGAGAGAGCCGAAGAGGAGAGGCGGGAAAAGAGGAACAAAATGAAGGAACGGAAAGAACAGTTTCAGAAATTGCTGGAAGAAGCGGGTCTTCATGGAAAGTATGTAATGATTTAGAATAAAACTGTTTCAGCTGTAAATTTAAGGTTGTAATGACTTAATGTATTTTGTTTAGATCTTCATTTAGCGATTTTGCTCAAAAACATGGGCGTGATGAACGGTTTAAGAATGTAGAAAAGATGCGTGAACGGGAGAGCCTATTCAACGAATATCTACTGGAAGTGCGAAAGAAGGAAAAAGAGGAAAAAACAGCAAAACGAGAACAGGTATTTTTATTCTATTGGCGCTATTGATTTTATTGCAATGCAAACGTTATTTTTCAGGATTTATGCGATAATATTAAAATTATTACTATATTCGGTATTGTAAGTAAGAAAAGTTTCCAGTTGCGCGATAAAATTTTTAAAAATACTCGAGAATTAAGGTACTCTAATTTTTTCTCTTTTAATTTTTGAACTGTACTTTTATAAAAAAAAATAATACTTATTGAGATCAATTTATATTTTTATATTATGTTTACTCTTTTATGTTTTTTCTGTTATTTAAATTTAGTTAATTTTTTATCTATTATTTAGTACCTCAATTCTCTACATATATCGAGATATGAATCAAAAGATTTTTTTTTTAAATACTTCCATCAAACCGTTCCCTCTTCCATACCGGACCTAATTCAGGTTTTTCATTCTTCACACCCTTCATTTCGTTTAAGGAAAGATTATTATGGAAATATCAAATAAAAATAATAGATACAACGCGATAAAGCTGGATAAGTTCAGCATCATTATTTACATGGAAACAAAATTTATATTATTTTAATGTTTCAAAAATAGAAAAGATGATTACAGATTAATGATATAAGAAAATGAGTAATAAGTAGACAAAGAAAAATGTTCTAATCTTAAATAGAAGATCATATAATATCTAATAAATTTATATTTTCAGCAATAATTAATCATTCTTTCAGGTTCTATAGGTATGTTACTATTTTGTTCCACTTGTAAGATTTATCTAATATGAATTCCTAAATTAACGGCTGAAGAACACATACCAGGAGAAGTTTCTCTAAATAATTCTCTACTCCAGTAGATTTTCTCGATAGACAAAAGTTTTGTAGCTGTAAGATGGGAGATGTAGAGAATAAAATCTTAGTATGTGACGGTTCCTTATATACTTATGTGTTCTGAACTCTCCACTTCAGTCAGGAGGCAGGCAGGACAGGTTCCGTATGTGGAGTGGCTTGGTTCTGAAGCTGGTTGGTGGCATGGATGATGTCATCTACCATCCCCACCTACACTGCGTGGCACAGTTGGCACACCCTCGCGCGCCGCATTCTTTACTCCAAAGCAGAGTCATGAGAATGAACGAACTCGGTATTTGTATATTACTCGTAATCCTCGTTACTTCAAAAGATTAACTTTTCCCCAAAAAAATCAAAACCAATTTCAAAAAGAATTCAATGCAAGTTAAACTGGGATATTAGCCCCAATGGTAGCATCAATTCACAAATACATATTTTGCAATTTTTTATTCTGTTTTCTGGAGATAAAGAATCGTTATTTATTCTGAGAAACATGAGCTACCAATTTGTCTTACATGCAATGTATCAACATAAGAACAAAAAGAGAAAATCCTTTATATAATTCTATTTCCAAAAACAGTTTTGGTAATTGTTCAAGACATTATTCCAGCAACTGTTCTTATGTCCATACATAGTATATTAAAATTTCAAAATAAAAAATTGCCACTTATATCAGAAAATGCATTTCAATTGGTGTATAGATATCTCTTCGTTTATGGTTGCCTTTTTTTTTTAATTGCATTATGATATAAACATTTGATTTGTCATATGAAATATAATGCAAGCAATTTTTTTTTCTTTTTTTTAAGGAAATTAATATATTTGAAGCAACAAGATGAGTATATTAAGATAATAGAATGAGCGTGCTTTTGTGAAATTTGGTCTATATACATCAGAGAACCTTGACTGCTTTTGTCTTAAAAATAATAGAAGTGGACATTGGAATGATTGTGTTTAGATGAAAGTTAGACCACGGTGGTACAAGTTTGTTACTACTTAAAAAAAAAAAAAAAATTGTGTAGGATCAGGATCCGAGTAATAATTGAAAATTCAAGACCGAAATATGCCAGCAACTCTGAACTCTAGTCATCTTTCATTGCGAAATATACGTGTATTAAGTTTATTTAAACATGGTAATAAATTATCTTTGTTATATTGAAATCCTAGGTCGTTCAAAAATTACGTAATGGGAACTTATACGTACACGAAATATTTTTCTTAATATTTATTTGTTCAGCATAAAATAAAGGAACCAAAAGCATATGAAATATTGAAATAAAATAATATAATGAAATAGAAATCATAAAATAATTTAGAGCTCTAATATTAAAGATTTAATGATTTCATTCAAGTTCTTTCATGATATTTCAATTTTTTTAATGTATTTTTTTCTTTGCGCTATATTCATATTATACTTCTGTAAATAATAATGATACCATATATTTATATACTTTGCAAAAGTATCGTACAATGCTTAGGAAAAATAAAACCTCGTTTCGTAATTTGAACGACTGACAGCTTTGAATATTTCTCAAAATCTCGTGATGAAATATAATACTAACGATATTTTTCTTTTCAGCAAGGGCAGCAGATAAAAAAATTTATTCATTTTATAATCCGTCTCATCATTAAATGATAGCATACCATTCTGTTTTTATTTCCACCATAAATTTCTATGTATGTATACGTATTTCTTCTACATTGATATGCAACATATTTAATGATGACTCGGTCAAATAAATAATCATTTTTGCAGCTATAATGAGTATAATTTTTTTCCAGCAAAACCGACCAGCTTATTTCATTAAAAAATTCCAACAAGTAGAGCCCTTAACGTTGTGATATCTCCTGACACGAACGAATGACATGAATGACTATTTCTTCTACCCCTAACGAAATGTAGTTTGAAAACCAATAAAAAGGTTTGCAAGTTGAAATAGTTTGATCCACATTACAAGTCATTACTTTCTCTCTCTCTCTATATATATATATAATATTGTTATCAAAGTGATTGTAATGTGGTTGAACGTGTAATAATTATTGGTTGAAAATTCTTAAGCGTGCATGATAAAACTGAGACAAGCAAAGAAAAAAAAAAAGATAAAATAAATAAATACAAATATACATATACATATCAATAAGAAAGTTCAATCTTAAAAGACAGAATTGTATAAAATAGAGTGTAAGCAAGAGTTGATTATTTTTCAATGATGAAAACTCGGATTGTAAATGCGTTTCAGGTGAAAAAGGAATTCTTTGCGATGCTACGTGAACACAAAGACATCGACAGGCATTCGCATTGGAGTGATTGTAAGAAAAAATTGGAATCTGATTGGAGGTACAGAGTGGTAGAGTCGGCAAGCACGCGTGAAGATTGGTTTAGGGATTACATTCGTATGCTAAAGGAGGAGAGGAAAAAGGAGAAGGAGAAAGACAAAGATCACCGGCACAGGGACAAAGATCATCACAAGTCAGACAAGAAAGATAGGGACAGAAAGGATGTTGATAAGTACAAGGAGAAATCTTCCAAGGATCGGGTTGAAAAGGATAGTTCAAAGGACAAGAAGCAACGCAGAAGCGAGGCACCATCTGAAGAGAATGGCAAAGAAAAGAAGGAATCGGTTGTGGAAAAAGAAAGTGGAGAAATTGAGGATAACGATGAAAAGCCATCCAAAAAAGAAAATGACGTATGTCTTCACCACGTTAAGTTAATTAAAAGATAACAATTTAATGGTAATTTACATAACGTTCATTTGCTTAGAAGGAGGATGCAGAGGATCAGTCCGATTCAGAAGAGGATCGTGAGAAACAGAAACGAGAGCGCGAAAGAAGAGCGGAAGCGAGTCTTCGCGAAAGAGAAAGGGAAGTTCAAAGGACTTTAGCCACGCATCTTCGCGATAGGGATAAGGAGAGACAACATCATCGTCACACAGAAGCGGTACAGCATTTCAGTGCTCTTCTTGCAGATTTAGTATGTATCTTCTTACTTGGATAATTAATTATGAAAGTATGCTCGTTAGATTTACTGTAACTTGAATGTATGAACAGGTAAGGAACGGTGACCTGGCTTGGCGTGAAGCGAAACGACAGCTGAGAAAAGACCATAGGTGGGAACTAGCGGAGAGTTTAGACCGTGAGGAAAAAGAGAGATTGTTTAACGAACACATAGAACAGCTCAGTCGTAAGAAACGTGACAAATTCCGTGAACTCCTCGACGAAGTTGGAGCTTCGACTGAACTTACTGCGTCGTGGAGGGATATTAAAAAGTTGTTGAAAGATGACCCTAGATATCTTAAATTTTCTTCCAGTGATCGGGTATGCGATACTTTTAACAATTCGTAAATAAGAATGATAAACGTACCGATTGTTAATATATCAAATGTATATTTCCTTTTTGCAGAAATGTGAAAAAGAATTCAAGGAGTACATTAAAGATAAACTTGTTGCGGCAAAGGCTGATTTTAGGGAACTTTTACAAGTATGTTGAAATTGTATTATAAGTTTTATCGAGATATTTCTCTGTTTTTGGATAACTCAAATGTAATTTTAGGAAACAAAACTTATTACGGATAAAACATACAAAAAAGTGCAAGAGAATAGTGCACATTTAGTAGAAATTGAAGAAATCTTAAGGAAGGATCGAAGATTTCTTGTACTTGAAGCAGCAGCTGCTGAAAGAACTCGTTTATTAATGGGATATTTGGAGGAATTGGCACGTAGGGGTCCGCCTCCACCACCTACTGCCTCCGAACCTTCGAGAAGACCAACCACAAAGTAATTATCGTCTTTGACGAACCCAGAGAGATTATCTATACGTCGTGTATCAATTTGGGGAATCTATTTTTGTTTTAGCTAAACGAGGCCCACAACAAAGCATGGTATACATACGGTGTCCAAATAACAAATCAGTGAATGAATTTATAGCTGTAGTTGAATTGAAGTACTTTACACATGAGATGAATTATCGCCTGTAATTATAGGATTCAATAAATTTAACGCCAATTCCACACAGCTAAAAATGTGTGTCATACTGTAAAGATGCCATAGTGTAAGCATATCATTATTTGTTAAATTACATTAAAAACTAGATAACTAGTTAAGAGACAAATTAATTAATAATGTTTGAATAGTAGATTCGTAAAGTACGAATTTTATACATATTTTATCCAGGTTTGTTGCATAACCACCTCATTCCGAATATTTTGTATGAAAATTACACGAGAATTACCACATCGAGTGTTTGCTACGCTCAAATAATTTAAAAGCATGTGGATGAATTTCTCTAAACTGATGTTAAATTTAATAATTCAAAAATATAATTATTGTGTTTAAAAAAAAAAAACAAAAGAGCATAACGTATGACAATCATGCATGATCATTTGTCACGGAGTAGAATATTCAGAAAAAAAAATTTTTTTGGAATTATGTTACTCGCGCAGCTGAGTCGGATGATAAAACCGTAAGTATCTTACAAAATATTCTCGTCTGGATTTGTTTAATCATCGTTTGTCATTTACCTATGTGGCATTTTTACGGTACAAATTTCTTAATCGAGTATGAAGAAATAATTAGATAGGACAATATATTTTATGAAATAAATTGTTCGTAAAAATTGCGACAGACAACGTTTACATACAATTCCCAGCGATCTACGATCACTTGCATTTTATTTCTAATATTTGATAATATTTCATTGCAGAATATCGTGTAAGCAATGAAGAGTTTAATATAAACGTGATCTCATTATAATACAATCGAAGATCGCAAAAACTTACTGCAGTAATTTGTATCTTTTATTATTCGTATAAACAATACCGAGGTCTTTCTTTAATGACCACAAGATTATTTTTATTTGAAGATAGAATTTTAATTAATGCAATCATGTAATATTTTAATGTTACAATTATATATAAATAATGTACATAGAATGAATCCAATAAAATTTGTGCAAGTTGTAACATTATAAAAATGAAGAAGATCATGCCTTTTTTTAAACAAACAAATTCTAATAAATTGTAGAGTAGAGTGAGTAGAATTAATAAAAGTCAAAATTTTATCTTACCCGTTATTTAAATTTGAAATAATGAACATTTTTAATTTTAGTTCTTACCACCAAGAGCGCTATAATAAAAATATCAATCCCAGTCGGTACAGTAGCGTGTGACACGAAAATGGTAAAAAGGTTGTAAAGCACCCAAGCATGAGCCCAAAAGTATTGGATGGTTGATCTACTCTCCCTGTCTATGGTAGAATGTTCTGAAAATGCCAAAAGAATATCAAAATCTATTTTATTGAAAAACAAAATTTTCTGATTCGATAATTTCGCTGTTTATCATTAGATGGCGCGGAGGTAAAGTGTTGCCCTGTTTTACTGATCCAGTGATACGGTGATTTCAATGCCTTTGGCTGCAAAGGACATGTTCTTTGCTGCAAAATGATGCACGCAACTTTTAAATTATCAGGAATGACTAGGAAATTCTCTGACATAGCCACGTTATTCCGTAAATTCGTAGCACCGTCACGATACAAAATACCGTATCTGATTTTATGTTGTACATATTTGTCGTTCTTACCGTTAGAATCAGGACGGCACGTTGCACTTCCTGCTAACTCGGTACGAATACAAATTGGCAACTTGACGCCGCGGCTGTTTGGTAACCGAATATTCTCCCACGAAGCGAGAATTGAATTTATTTCCTAAGAGATCAAACTAAATTGGCTACTAAAGTTTCGTTAAAATAAGATAAATTAAGGTAAATTAACGAAACTTCTTTCACGTAAACGAGCCTCTGCTATAAAAGTACAACGTTCGAACAACCATACGTGACGTATGGCATGCGAGCAAGGGATTACTAATTCAGTCTGATAAGGTTGCAGTAATAATCTAGAAGCTATTATAGAACGTCATCGTCAACCTTATTGCGTCATGATATTACTTTCCCTAGCTGTCCCGACCTTGCTCGTCTTTTTCCTTTCGGCTACGTCTGGTTTCTCAGCCGGATGTGAATCAGTTCATTATCGACGATAGATCGATTGGTAAAGGTCGTCCGGAAGGGTTAACGAACGTCCAGCGACAGGATAAAATAGACTTGGGGAAAAAATATTTGCGAAGGTCCTGACGAAGGACGCGCTCGTGTTATGACATTCTTCGGTTGCATTCTTTGGACCCTGGAAAAAAAATAGAATTTACCTCGATAAAAATGCAAAATACATAGGGTAGGTCATCTAAATAATTCGCCTGTTTTCAACGGTAGGGAAAAGTACGTAAGAACCATTTTAGTTGGTTCGGAGGAAGGTCGTATATTCTACGTTACACTGGACACCCTGTATGCAACTAAAATGCAAATCTTGGTTTGTGAAAGGCAGGATATATGATCGTGCGTCATACGAAATATGTACTGAATTTTTAAAACTGTATCGAGTTTAACAACTTCCACGTCAATATCAAAGATATTGACTATGATTCTAAAATTGAATTAAATATACTAGTAGTTGAGTTAATAAGTTCAGGTGCCTTAATTTCATGCTATCTAAAGATTAGTGGACCTCGTGGACCTTTTTGATTCAGAATGACCTACCAAACATCGAAGTAAAATTCAATCTGTTTCTTACTGCGTATTGACATTTTATTAATGATATTTCAATGTTGAACGAAACTGGGTGTGCCGACATACATGTGCCCGATGGTATCGAGGTAATAAAAATTCGAATGTTAGCCAAGGGTTAAAAGAACTCCTCGGTTCCAGGATTCCAAAGTGTGTCCGTCGACGGGACTAGGACCCGGTTCTAAAGCCATCGCGAGGGATCGTTGATCCTCGGCGTCGACCTTCGCGAAGGCAGAAGAAAGGTTGTACCCGGACGTTCTCAAATTTTTCCTAAAACCCGTCCCCCTACGGTTTTTCTATGTATAAAGTGGCCGTTGTGCGTTGACGGTCACAAAGAGGCGCGAAGATAGCCAGCGTATAAGTGGCGTTACAGAAAAAGGAGAGGGAAAGATCTCGATGGCCTCGGCATGCCAGCAGCTCCGCCTCACGAGGCGCGCAGCCACCAAGTGAAAGTGGGATTTTGCTTTCTACCCGCGGCCAGTGACAAACGCGCCACGTTCTCGCGAACGTCTCTCGTTCATTTTTATTTTCCCAGCGAAGATGCGTTTGTCCGTCGTCGGTCGATAACCAACCACTTTGTGGACGAACGAAATCACCTGACGGGTCCTACGTGTCCGTTACGATGACAGTGTTGCACTGACAGTTACCAAGGAAAAGTGCGAGGCGTGAGAACCAGTGCTAAAGGAAACATGTCGAAGTGCAACAAGAATGGTACCTGGCATGTCAACGTGATCGTCGCGTTACTGCTTTTCGCTTTTTACCTCCTCCCAACGAACTGTCAACAAGGTACGATGGTTTCTTCGGCTTTTTCTTTTTCAAAAATCAATTCGAGCCCTTCTCGAACGGTGAATTCGAAAACGAGTGTACCAGTATAGTTCGCGTGCCGACCATCGAGCCGCGCGACGGTCGACAACCGCGCAATCCTTTCATGGGTACGCACAGAGCGAACGCGAACGTCTTTCGTGGACTTGGATGTCCACGATTGATTTATAAAATTCTATGGTCGAATTTTAGTTTTAGTATTCCTTTGAGATTTTCTCAGCTTCCTTGGAGAACATAGTCACCGTAGGTTGATTTACGGAGCGACGTTTGAGCCTCCAAGTTTGTTCAACCGCGAAAGGTACCGTTTGATTTTGACAACGTAATAGCAGCGGATCGCGTAGGTGGTATTTATGTAACCCGGCGAGTCGTCGATGTATGACTGTCACGATTCACCGAGCACAGCCATTCTGGCTTAATTCGTATTCTTTGTTGTTTCTTCGACGAATTAACCACGAGTCGTTACTGTGAAATATTCCAATCGAAAATCAAGGATATCGTTTTCGGTCATGTTAATTCTGTTGAAGTTCGATTTATGATTTTATGCTCCATAGCTGATGTCCTTAAACCTGGAAACGGAATAAATTGGCGATCGTCGTACGATACTCGATTGTTTGAATTCGTGACCCGTTATATTGCGATACAATACGCAATACAATAGAACCGCAATTTCATACGAGAGTTACGTACAACCACGATAACGCAATTGGATCTCCATTGTTGCTTGTAATAACAGCACCGAGATGAATGATTATCCCGATTCCCTAAAACGGATATCTCTCATTCAAAATTCTGGTCAACGTTACAAGTAGATAAGATTATCTCCATTGTGCATTGTGTAACAAGAATAGGATTATTTATTGACATCCGATCTCTGGATCGTTTCAACGTTTATTAAGGGCCATATTTTTTCGAAATTTTAGAATATTATAAATAGACTTGCTTTCAATCGAAACACTCTTTCTTCGAGGTTTCAATAACATTGCATTTAAGTAAATTTCGTTTCGCTCGTTAAATCGTTACTCCATATTTCATATAATTGCAAACTGAAATAATCAGAGTAAGAAAAGTAAGAGCTTCGAGTAATTTGTAATGCTGAATAATGATAGTGAAATTCCATGCACTTCCTTCGCTGCTCCACCTAAACATTTTCTCTAATAACAGAATTTTCCCGAACCGCAATGTGAAAGGAACACCGGGAATTTGTTATTCAAACTCTCCTTCCAAAAATAGTGTTTCGGGTTACCTGTAGAATGCGTTCTGGTTGGAACGGGTATGTTTTTTTCGTGTTTCTTTTCTTTTTTTTTTAAGTTGATTCGCGATGCATACCACACAGAACAATGACCACTGGAAGCAGAAATATAAATATCAATTGCGCAAATTAAATCGAGATTTATTTTTCAAAAGTCATAGCAATTTCAATTTTTATCTACATCTATTAGTAAAAAAAAAAAAAAAAATTATGATACAAATAACCCGTTATATTTACACCGTTCACGATCAATTAGAGATGCAAATACCGATCGATTAATTAGTAGATAACAGTAAATGTAAATTCCAGAATGTCGTCACTCGAGTTGTAGGCGTAGAGGAATAAATAATCCTAGCTTAAGTTCCGTGAGATATGACACATATTTCCTTGTACATTTCGAACAGCCCCTATGACTCTTCAAGATTTAGTAACATCTGTTGCATGAATCTCGTAATAGATGATGAGATTCTTTAGTGGGATTCACGAAATTAATCATCATTGGGAAGTCCATCCGAATCTTTTCAAATTACATATACCGCAAAGAGGTTTATGATATTAGAATCATAGAAACACAGTATTAGATTAGTAAGATAAATGATGTAGCTTCTTTCTGTAACCTTGGAAAAGAAACTTCTTGAAAGAAAGTTTGTGTCAACGTTTCATAGATACTACGA